GAGAACGTTGAACTTAAGTCTTCCTGGAAAATCCCGGCTATGACAACTCTAAATCCTGCCAAACTTCCAAGTCCAAAATTAAAAACCAACGAAACAGTAGTGCCAAATACACCTAGTTACACTCGTTCAGGTATCCCAGATCGCATCGCAAATGCAAAACACTACCGACAAAAATCGATCCCAAATTTCGAGTCGCCCCAACTGGGCGAACCCGTCACCCGACCAAATAGGGGGCGGATACAAAAAATTGGAAACCTCGGATCAACCGTGCAATCACGCAGCGCAAAATAGGAAATAGGAAAAAGGGATGCAGAGGCAGAAGAAGAAGAAGGAAAAGTTCCGCGGCCAGAGCGCCGGGCCCGGGCGGCTGGCCCGGGGAAAGGCGGAAAATCGATGTCCCGGACTGCAGAAGGGGGACAAGGGAGAGAGGCCGAGAGGGGGAAAGGGATCTACGAACTGGCTCGAGAGTCGGCGAGAGAGTCTTAGAGCCAGCGAGACGCTAGACGACAAACAATACGTGGCTCCGAAGAACGATCAAGATACGCTATAGGGGGGTGGTTGGTCCTTTGGTGAGAGAGAGAGAGAGAGAGAGAGAGAGAGAGAGAGAGCGCGAAAGAGCGGTTGAATTGTGTGCAACGGAGGAATGGAACACCACACCACCTGGGCGACACATGCAAACAGACACCGCGTGTATGTGTCTGTGTGTAGCTCCGTTACACAGATGGTGCCTCAGGGAAGTGATCTTTGGTCGGAAACGATCGCAAGGTTATAAATGACGACATGTGGAGTCATGTGGTTTGCTGCTATCGGTGTCCATGATCTACTAAAGATCAAACCACGTGTCGATAAACTTAGTATTTTTAGGTTATGGAAGCATAACTTCATTTTGTTCTAAAAGCGAAATCCCAGCCTTTAAAGTTTTTTAAGAAGCCGTATACCCGCGTTACCTAGAGCAAGAAGCCAAAAAAAGACAAATTTAAAAATTCACAAATTCTAATTACTACTTCATTACAAAGATTGAAAGCTTTTGGTAACCAAATGTATAATTTTTAGATAAATGATGGTAAAAAGGCTGTGGCCTTCAAATTTTGTGCTTTTAAAAAATTTTAACGCTAGAATAATCCAGAATTCACTAAAAAGGTTCGACGAAGATTTCTACGGCACAGAAATCACAAAAATTCGAAGAGATCAAGTTGCGACAACCATTTCTGACCCCCGGGCTGATACCACATATTTGCATAGCCTCTCGACCTACAGAACCCCTGGCCAATATTAGCCCATGGTCTAGCACGCGTTACAGAATCTCTAGTTTGGTACGCCGATCGTACTCCAGCACCGGAAAAGGGCAGCCAATCCGGGCGGCTGCTGACCTTCCTCATTCTCGCTGATGTTTGCTGGGGGGCTCTATGCGGGTCTCTCTCTCTTTACCTCGCTCTCTCTCTCTCTCTCTCTCTCTCTCTCTCTCTCTCTCTCTCTCTCTCTCTCGCTCTTCCTTTCTCCCCCTCTTTGCCCTTTCGTTCTTTCCCCTTATCCCCCTTTTCCTCCTTGACTGTCTGCATGTTTGTCATCGTCCTCGACCCGCCCTCCTTCCCCCCAAAAGGGAATGTTTGGGCACATTTTGAGGCGAGGGTTTGGATGGAGGTCACAGAGAAGTACAGACAGCAAAACCGTGTGACAGACAGACATAGAAATTGACGGGCAGACAGGGAAAGACGACGAGAACTGCTCCGATAAATCGGGCTAGGCCACGTACACCCGCGATTTCTCTCTCTCTCTCTCTCTCTCTCTCTCTCTCTGCTCTCTCTCTCGATCTCTCTCTTTCTCTCTTTCTCCCCCCGCCCTCAATACATTCACCAACACCCGAACGGAGGTGTAGCATGTGGGCGGGTGTACCTGACCAAAAGGGGGTCAGCAAAAATTCAGGTTTACTAGAGTCTGGCAGTGTTTTGGTCTCCAGTTTCACGAGGTTCTCCAAGCCTAAGCCTACGTTAAGCCTAGGGTAAACCTAAGGTAAGCCGAAGCAGCTAGGCATTAGCATCTAATTCAACGTTCTTCTTGCAAAATATTATTTGTTGCAGCTTCATAACACAATTTCCGAAATTGGTAGAACAAAATTTATAATTTTCCACTGGGAAAAGCTAGCCTCAAGTAGCCAGTTTCCGCTTGTGCCCCTGACTGTGAGTGAGCAATGAAACAAAAGGTTGATCCGGAGGTGTAGTTAGGAACAAAAAGAAGAGTCATTGATTGCTAAAGCCATGCGACAATAAAAAATAAGCCGCTTGCATGTGGCAACTAAGACCATGCAAAAGTGCCAGGTGCATAATGGACGTCAATGGGGCGCCGGCAGGTGGAAAGCTTGGTAGAATGAGTACAAAACACAAGCCCTGGTGGCTGCTAGTTATTTTTAACGTGCAGCGCTTTCCGTTGGAGAGCATGGGAAGTTTTCGGAAATGTGAGAAAGTACAGGTTTTCCCCGTGGGGCTATCGTAGACCAGAATTTGTAGGGGGTGCTCCAGAAAAGTCAGGAGAAGCTACCATAGCAGTATGGGATCATATTGTATTCAATTCAACACGAAAAGCGGACGAAAAATCAGATCAGAAACAAAAATCCTAAAAACAGCTATAAAAACCTTGTGAAAATTGGTAGAAGGTCTAGGCTAATTTTGGCTCCGCATCTTCTAGGAACCCGGCACGGCAATGCCAGGTTTGTTCGCAATATCCGCGTTAAATTGCGAAAATGTATTGAAAAAAAGTTCTGTTGAATGCACCGGCTTGCCGGGATCCCTAGAAATTCGTAGCTGATCACAAGTGCGGAAAAACGAAACTCTAATAATCAGGGACCTTAACATAGTTATGATTTGTAGCTTTTCATGATAGTCTGTTTCCAAAGGTATAATTATGCTTGTAACCATTTGTAATATTACCTTTAAAAATGTTGGCTAAATAAGCGCACGACATTTCAAAAACCGAAGATGACTATTGATCAGTGCATCATTTCAGAAAGACCGGCTAATTTGTTGGTTATTAGTATGATTTAGTCCTCTTATCAGCCGACTTTTATACCGTAGCTGCATATCAGACCAGCCAAATCCTATAGGCAGCGCGGCTTGGCATCCTTGTAGCTCTAGCTGTTAGTTTTCAGCTCCTTTCTGCTTTCCAGCATTTTCACAAGGTTTTTTTAAATGCCCGCGCTTTAGTATCGCTAAAATCTTACGGTAACTCTTGTATAATTTTCTTGTTCTTTTTCTCCGATGTGCAGACCTACCCCCAAATTCCCTGAACTCGAGCACCCACGCCAGCTGGCCCAAAACTGGTCCCAACTATCTGGTGGCCCCAGAATAAACAGTGTCCTTCTCCTCCGTTCTACACCCGCGATTAGCCCCCATCCCCGCTATACCGTTGTATCGCGGGACGCGGCGAGGCGGTCGCGCGGCGGCGCAGCTGTTTCGAGGGCTCTCAAATTCTCTGGGGTCTCTCGTTCGCTGCGCTCCCTCGCCATCTGACTCACCATTACTGCATCGAGTCCGCGCCCCGGCCGTTCCAACAATCCGTCCGCACTCCCATTGATTCGCCGTTCTTCCTTTCGAAATCTATCACTTTTCATTTTATCTCGCTGACTGAAGCTGTCGATTTTCCGTTTCCATCCGTTATTGGCAATACCGAAAGGCGCTTTTCTATCCAGACATTCAGATTTTTTTTCCCTTTGGAATTATTAAAGGCTTTCGAAAGTGGCTATTTAAGTGCTTTCCCAACTTTATGTAAAATTCAAAATCTATTTATTGCCGAAATTCAAGCAATTCATCGATAATTTGGAGCGTTTATTTTTTTAAGTGCTGACGTATGTTTTTATTGATCCAAGCAAAATCTAGCCATTATCGCCACTTTTTGCGAATTTTTTAAAAACAATACAACCGAGAAATTGCGAAAGATTTTTTGCTTAGATACTTGTACACAACATTCACTTAAATAGTTAAATTTTGCTTAATTTTAATTATTCAGTCAGTTGAAGCGTCGTGTTTCAAGCCCGATTTTTATAAAATTCGTTCCTTAATGCGTCCCGCCCTTTATCTTATCGCTTCTGGCCCTTTTGAAACTCGATCGATTATTTTTCTGCCGCAAGAAAAACCGGCAGATTGATCCCGCTGGCCTCACCTCCCACATCTGCCAATCACTCGCTATCTCGGCCTTGACCTGCCATTCCCGTTTTTTTTCTGCGTGCCTTGTCCTTCCATTCATATTGAACGAGTTCCAGATCAAACCCAAACTTCCTGAACTACTTACAATGGGCGACAACAAGGTCAACATGTCTCTCGACGAGATCATCAAGCACAAGAAGCAGGCCGAGAGGCAGAACAAGAGCCGCAAGACGATCGCGGCTGCCGGTGGAACGCCGAGGCGGGGAGGAGCTGTAAGTTTTACTTAGTTCTGAAACAAAAAGCTGAAGACCACGTTTATATACCTTTACAACGTAGTCAACTTGATGGGATAACCCGAATTTACATTTTACAACAAGAATTTTACCAAGTGGTAGCAGGTGCACGAACTTTGACATGCAGATTTCAAGAGCGCAAAAGCTAAGCAATTTTTTAAGCCCAGTAAAACAGTCAGTATATTAATAATTCATAATTATTTTGATATATCTTTAAACCGATACACATGATAAGAGAAGCTGAACCTGTATAACTTCCTCAAGCTCTGCTAATCTTTTCACAAGCTTATTGCCAAATAAAATCTTTCAGGCTCGTGGTGGAGCTCGTGGAGCACGTGGAGCTCGAGGAGCTCGCGGTGGAGCCCGCGGTGGATTCCGCGGCCAGGGCCGTCCTGCTCAAGCCGGCGGTGCTCGACGTGGCGTCCAGCAACGCACGTTCACCCCAAGCCGCCCAGGCATCCGTCGTGCCCCGCTCTCGCAGGAGAGGTTGAGCCAGGTCGCTCAGAAGCTGGCCCTCCAGTCCGTGCAGAACCGCATCAACCAGGGGACGACGAAGAAGCTGTTGAATAATATGGTCAAGGTAAGTAGCATCCTATCTTTCTGTTGATCATGTATGATGGTTACGAAACATTTCCATAACCTCTGATTTTTCAGAAAGCCGTGAAGCGAGCCCTGGCCACATCGAGCGGAGCACGGAGACCGATCGGAGGCCGAGTATGTGCTCTACTACCGCCCATCAGTGGCCCGTGCATGGAGGCGTGTGGGGCGTGAGGCCAGCGTGGGAGCGAGTGCACAAAAACGCGTCGTCTACGGGAGTTCCTCGTCGCACGCCGTACTCCCACCCGTGCCGCGGAGTTCCGCAGCCCCACACGCGGGCGTTAGCGTTTGGAGACCTACCGGGCGAGAGGCCAGTGTGGGAGAGAGCACAACATCAAGGAGTGCAGACCGAGTGTCGTATTGCTCATGGTTCTCCCACCAGTGCCCCGTCAATCCGCAGCCCGGCGGACCCTGACGTGCCCATGGGAATGTAGAACACCGCCCGAACTATCGTCTACTGGCTTCAAAAACCCGGCCGAGAATTTTGGAACCTATGAACACTTAATAAAGGGTCCAAAGGGTCTCCCATACCTAAGAAAGGCGTAACCTTACGACCTACGGCCCAGTTGCCTATATATTTGCTAGCATTATCCCGAGGTTGTGGCGTACTTCCAAGGATCCGGTAAGGAAACGGAAGCCAGACTTTTAGAATTATGAAATGTCCCAAAATTGAAGCATCTGAAGAGGAGATCGTGCTTCGCCCCCAACGCCCTGCTTCCAGATTGCGGCCGCCACCCCGATTGCCAACCGAATCCTCGCCACGTCGCGTGTCATTCAGAAGGCTGCCCGTCCGGTGGCTAGGCGTCAGATGGTCGTCCAGGTTTGTAAGTCAAAGATGCATAGAATTCTGTGTTTTTAGCGCCCCAAGATCGTACGGCAACGTATTGCTGCTCCGGAATATGTGGAGGAAATGTAAGTTGGACTTGATCTTGAGCTTTAGACGATGAAAACATAGTTAGCGCTGCTTGATTGTAGTTAGTGATAGTTAAATAGAGGATACACCTTCTAACCAATTCGTTTCAGCATTGAACGCCCAGTCCAAGTCATCCGACGCCCCCAGGTCGCCGCCGTCAGGAAGCAGGTCGTCATCCGACGTGCAGCTCCACTTCAGAACATCCGTCAACGCATCCAGGTTGGCATTATTAGATGAGCCTGCCTAATCAGTTCATCAAGGAGCTAAACCTGCCACACAAATGTTTTTCAGCAACAACGACAGATCGTCCGGGAGCAACCCCGCGAAAGAGTGATTGTGCAGAGGAGCATCCCGCGAGTCCAGCAACAAGTTATCAGGCGACCGGCTAGGGTAGCTTTTGAAACTCAGAACTTCATGGGTAGTTCGGCCCTACATCCAAATTTCTAGATCGAACGCCCGCAGCAATTCCGTGAACGCGTCGAGTACGTCCAGGTCGACCGTTCCCCACGATTCAGCGGATCTTCCCGACGTGGTGGGTTCCGTGGAGGACGTCAACAGGCACGAATTGTAAGTTAAAACTTCTAGCGTGATTTTTATGAATTCTGACCATAATAAACAATGCACTAAATACCTTTTTCAGGTCGAGGTCGATCGCTTCGAGGACTACAACACTGGCCGATTCTCCAGCAGCCGCAAAGGCCGTGGCTTCCGCTCAGACTACTAAGTATACATGCAAACACCGGCCGCCTCGATCTCCACGTCTGCTCTTTGCGCCCATTCCCCAATTTTTATACAACCCTAAGGTCTGTAGTCACTTTTGCCATCATCTAATGCGTTTTGGTTTGTCGTTGATGTGTCACGAATCGGAATTTGAATGCGTGTATATAAACCGTTTATAAAAATGGTTGCTTTAAAATGCACTAAAACGCGTCATAATTAAGGCTCCTGAAGCTCGGTTGCTACTCGTTCCGCTTGAACTTGAGGTTTTGAGGAGGTGAAAAGGAACACTGAATAGATTACGCCGACTCCGAAAAAGATGGCTGCCCAGAGCATGAACTAAAAATGATCGTAGCTTCAGAAGAAGTTCAAGACCTACCTGTGCCTGAATTCCAATACCAAAGTAATTCCTATCCACAAAAACGAACGTTAAGGCAGATTGGCAGACCAGCGCAAAAAGGCTATTCGCGCCGAACACAAAGCCATAGGCACGCTTCTCGAGTTGGCTAGCGATCGTTGCACTGAACTTTTATTATTTAGTGGTTAATTAACTTTTGTTATACCTGGTAATTGGACTCATCGCATGATAAACGAAAACTGCCAGAATATACATAGCATACGCCACCCAAAGTGATGAAGTTAAGCTCATAAATAAAGCAGCAATTCCCAGCAAGAATGCGCAGGCGACTTGGAAAAGTGTCGCGTATCGCGTCGCACCATCAATTTTTATGTACTGCGACGAGTAGGAAATTATAGCGCCTAGGATATTTGTGATTTTGGTCTAGAATTTATACCTAGAAAAGTGTTGATAAATTCTATTAACCCGTTTTCCGCCTTCGTGACGCTGTCAATTTGCATCCATAGGGGTTGGATGTAGTTGTAGATCTAAAAATGGAAGGTTATACAATCTTTTAAAACGGTAATAAGCTTTTTTCATTAAATTCTGACCTGATACTGTGCACAACTGAGCAGCGCCCACCACAGCGACCACTTCAAGACCAACGGATTACTCCGATAGATGGAAAAAGTGCCTTTTAGCGTATTCAGATAGGATTGTTCAGGCGCTGCATCAATTTTGATAGTATTCACCGGTTCCAGCTCGCAACTAAAATATTTTTACTATACCCTTACACGCGACGTACTCTGTAGCCGGCTCCACTAAATCCGGTCTCGTTTTGGGAACCGCTGGTAGGAAAAGAGAAATTATCGCAGCTAAGGAAACAGCCCCAAACGTGATCTGAAAGCATCTTCGATTTGAAAAAGTGGACCCTGGTTTATACCTGGTTCAAAAGCAAGTATGATCCCGTTTCGGTCGACACCAAAAATTGAGCAAGAGCAAAAGCAAACAGCTTCCCGAGCAAGACCGAACTTTTAGTCCAAGAGGTTACACGACGGTACTCCTTTACATCGACTACCGCATAGAGGTATGAGAAAAATGCGATCTCTGCTGCAGAGGCCAGACCTAGGGGTAAACGATACCTTACAAATTCCCCAGGAAGACTTACCAAAAACCACCTGCATCAGGCGCATCAAATTGACACCCTGGCCCCAGACCAGTATAGCCCAAGTCAAGCATAATCCAAAAGCTTCAACGATTATCAGAGGTTTGTATCGTAGTACATCTGTTAATGCCAGAATTGGGATCTATGCACTGAAATTTTACATCCAGTAATGTGACAAACCAAAAACACCAAGTATGAGTACGTCCAGTATGGGTATATATCACTGTAGACCGTCTCTATGCTCAAATTTTTGTACTCAGAAACAAGGTACGGAGTCAGAAATGGGGTAGCCGGGCGGAATTCCTTGATTTCAATAAGTAATGTTGAAAAAAAACGAGGCATACCTTTACAACACCATATAGGCAAACCAGTAAAGAAATCAGCTGCCATCGCATCGACAAAATTTAGAATCGGGCTGGAAAAAGGGAGGAATGAGTGACGGTTTTCGTGGCCTCGGCAGGAAAGCGCCGAGGTCCCTTTTCCTCGAGTGCTTTCGAAAAAAGGGCAAAACAAAGAACGCGGCCAGACGGGGCACGGCGAGCGATCAGATTGCTAAGCGCTAGGACATGTCAAGGTAATTTCGTGCTTTATCAAATCAAATAGAATTTTTATACCCAAAAATACGCAAATTAAGCGTTCTGGGCCCTTTAAAAAAGACCCGGGAAAAAGACTACGATCATTAAATCCGCTCCGAAATCATATTTTTGGTATTTTTATGTTAGACTAACTCTATTAAACGACTAAAAACAAAAATAAGCCTCAATTCAAACACTTAGGGCCGAAAAGAATATTTTTCGTTTGATGAAATCGTTAAAATAATAGAAACCTTAAAATTAAGACAAAAACTATACAAATGATGCCATTTAGTCGTATCTTATCGTAAATGTACCGAAAGGAACGTTAGCAGGCCTCCAAAGAAACGTAGCGTTAAAAAACAGCAAAAACTTCCCGGAATTCTGGTAATTTTACACCAGCTCCCGCCAGCCCCGACTTGCTATTGGGCGCCCCGATGACCGTACCCCCGCTGGAATACCCGTCCTAATTTAACCACGATGACATTCTTGCGGCTTGAAACTTTCTGCTTTCAATACTTTTGTATAGATTTTGGGCTTTAAAAATGAATATAAGTTTGGAATTTAGTCAGCATGGAGCGGTTTCTTCGTCTTGGCGGGCTAGGCGGGCAGCTGGGAGGCCAGGTTTGTGGAAAACAAAGCAAAAGAAAAATAAGCCGAACTTTAGTTTGGCGGAACTGCTCCGGCTGATTCGAACCAAGTGGACACTTCGGAGACCGTCTACATTTCGTCGTTGGCTCTGTTGAAAATGCTGAAGCATGGCAGGGCTGGCGTGCCGATGGAGGTACGTAGAATTTTCCGGGTTAGATTCCCGTAGCTCTCAAAATAATCCTCAAATTCTACTAACTTTATTAAATTATTTATATGGTATTTCTTAAAATTCTAGTAAGTAAAGCAAAAGCTGAAGAGGCAGCGGTAATAAGCTTAATTTTTTATTTGAGGTCATGGGTCTGATGCTCGGCGAGTTTGTAGATGAATATACCGTCAATGTTATCGACGTCTTTGCCATGCCGCAAAGCGGGACCGTAAGTTCAAGACGTTCAAAAAACTTCAGGAGTTTTCAGGGAGTCTCCGTCGAAGCTGTCGACCCGGTGTTCCAGGCAAAGATGTTGGACATGCTGAAGCAGACCGGGCGACCGGAAATGGTCGTTGGATGGTGGGTAAAACAGTAGAACAAAATGTGTATAAATTGAGCTTGTGTGTAGCGGCAAAACGTACTTTCCGGCTTGCAGGTACCACTCCCATCCCGGATTCGGATGCTGGCTTTCTGGCGTCGACGTGAACACTCAGCAATCTTTTGAGGCGCTTTCAGACCGTGCCGTCGCTGTCGTCATTGACCCGATTCAATCCGTGAAGGGAAAGGTGGGTAGAAAAAGGCGAATGTTTAGCTCTTCTTTCGCAAGCTATCTTTTTTCGGGCTTTCGGCTACCCTTTGAACCCCAAAAAAATCTATCCACCTAGTTTTTGGCCCGATCCAAAGTTTTCCTCCCGCCGCATCCATCACGCAACATGACGTTAACCGTTTTCCTTTTCAAAGCTCTGTTTATCCCGGCTAAAATGGATGTCCCCTCGCGCTGTCGAGCATTCTGACCCGTTGTTTTTGGTGAGCACGCGGCGGGCGCCCCGAGTGGCACCCGTAAATCTTCGGCTTTCCCTGGGGGGTTTTGGGCTGGTGGGCACTTCTTGTAAATGATGATATTTTTGGCGAGTGGGCGCGATCGGGAGGAATAAACTGCGGTTTTTCGAGGGCACAGATCGGCTTGCAAAATAGGGTGGTAAAAAGACCACTGGTTCAGTATCTTCGCCCTTAAAAAGTACACAAAATCGCGGTCCTTACGCCGGATCAACCTCGCTCAGGGGCTTGCCGGGTTTTAAAAACCTCCATTTTCAGGTCGTCATCGACGCCTTTCGCACGATTAACCCACAAACGATCGCCCTCAACCAGGAGCCGAGACAGACCACGTCGAACTTGGGCCATCTCCAAAAGCCCAGCATCCAGGCCCTCATCCACGGGCTCAACAGGCATTACTACTCGATTCCGATCGCCTACAAATCCCATGAGCGGGAGCAGCAGATGCTCTTGAACCTGAACAAGCGCTCTTGGATGGATGCGCTTGGGTTGGAGAAGTATGAGGACCATTGTCAGAAAAATAAGGGGTCGATGCAGCGTGTGTTGCGCTTGGCCAAGGATTATAAAAAGGTATGTTATCATCACCAACCGTTGTATCACCAACATTTCAGTCGCTCGAAGATGAGGACAAGATGACAGAGCACGAGTTGGTGATCAAAAACGTTGGAAAACAGGACCCGAAACGGCATATGAAAGATGAGGTGAATTCAAGAGAAAATAAAGTTGGCCTGGGGGTATAGCCTTGGATAATGCGCAAGGTCCTCACCTGAATTGGTCTCGTGTTAGCTGAAAAATACTAGATCTTCATTCGGACACGAAATCCAAAAGTTCAAACTTCTCAGCCGTTCCTGGCACTTTTTCAATCACGATCCCCATCTAGATTCCCTTCTTAAAGGGATAACGACGGCATAAGTGATCGGTGACGCGTGGGAAAGAAAATGTCTCTGCGTCTCGCCCCCTGAGCGTGTTCTCTGCCCTGTTGGCTACTTGCCAAAAAGTCGATGAGGGGTGATCGACCTATGCCGTCGGTATCCCTTTGAAGGCTCGCGAAAGATGCATTTGGCGAAAAAGCAACGAATTTTGCAGCGTGCGGGAGTCGAACCAGCGATGGTTCTCCCCACAGCCTAGCGTGCTAACCAGTACACCATTGACCAACCGAACCGGCGCGGCGAAAATCCCTCAAATCCCCACGCCGTTTCCGGATTTCTCGCATTGACCTGCGCCGAAATTGGGCTTTGCATAAATATTAGGAATTCCGAATATGAATTACGTCGATAGTAGCGTCTCGTCGATCCGTCACCCCGACGGACGCCTGCCCATCTTTCTCCAGCCCTTCAATTTTGACCCCACCCCAAAGACGTGCCAACCTTCCAGAGCCTAACTCTTGGCCAGAAAACACTTGTCACCGGAAAAGGGGGAACGTGTGGGGGCGAAAACCAACGGGGTCACACCACCACCACCAGAAAAGCCCCCCTGGCCGCATCTTTTTGGGGGCTCGATCCCGTGATAAAGGGCGACCCCCCGCCGGGGGATTGTCCCCGGGGGCCCACCGCTGGGCCCTATAGGCCCCATTCGCTCGCTTGTTCGTGCCCCCATAACTGGTGCCAAATCTTGACGTGTCCATCTTGGGCTTTGACGCCCGCGAGTGTTGCATTTTCGGCTGAATTTGGAGCATTTTGCCCGGGTTTTTTGATTTTCAACAATTCTCCGGAGGCTTAGACAACTATTATTTTTTTTTACTAGATGAATTTCCAGTTCAAATCGAAATTTTTTGCGAGAATAAGTAAACTCAGTAATTATCCAAAATAAACTTTATAAACTTTTCTCGCTTCCAGGTTGACCTTATGCTCGCCGATAACCTCGTCCAAAGCCTCGCCGCAGCTATGGACGCCGAATCGTTCCACTAATTTATAAACCTAACAGCTTTTAATATATTATAAGTATTTCCATTTCCTATTCTTGACTGTGTCATTGATTTCTCTGCCTTATCAAACAGCTCCGACCCCCACACTTCGTCTCTGAACCCCCTGGTTTTACCGCACCATCGTTCCAAGTTCCCTCCTCTTGCGGCGTTGCAATTTTTTATATTATTTTTCTAATGCTGCACCGATTTCGGGTCGGGAATATCGTCTTGGAATAAAGGAATTGAAAATTATGCAGTCATTTTTCGTGTTTAGGAAATAAAACGACAAAATGGGTTGGTGGACTCAACAATACTTTTCGATGACTATTGACGCAGTTTTTGAGTATTTTTAAGATGCGATAGAAAATTTTAAGGCTTGTTTACTCTAAAACATGACAATGTTACCTTGTAAATGCCTTTTAACTGATTTTCCTAGGTTTATAAAAAGAGATTACCTTTCAAGAAACCATACTTTCTGACGATTCTTCTCTTCGATTTTTCTATTTCTTTTAAGCGTTCTTTTTCATAACCGCAACATTTTTTTTCAGGTCTAATTTTCCGCCGTACCCTCAAACTTTTCCATCCCTGCAGCGCCAAGATGCGGGAATCGGTGATGCTTCGCGAGATCGCGCGCCGGGTCGACTGGGTGCTCGTCGGCGGGCGTTGGACCCGATTTTCAGTGATGGGCACGGATTTGAGGTGCTTATTCGCTTTTTTAAAAGTATTCCGGCAAAAAAAGTTGTAAAAGCTGTAGAATATACTTTCTTTTAGCCCTCGCGTCCTCGAAATCGACAACAAGGGCGAGGATGACGACCGGATAATCATCCTGATGATCCCAGGTTGAGCCAATCGCTAATTGAAAATTGTCATTCTTTCAGGAAACCCTGGCAACGAGGGTTTCTATGCGGATTTTGGCAAGCAAGTCCTGAGAAATCTTCTGGAAAGAGAGGAGCGGATAGGGGACAAGTAAGGAAAGTTTCTCTTTTTATAGCTCTGGTTTCCAGAAAATTCAACTACCTTTTCTACACCGTCTCCCACCTCAACCATGTCCCAATGCCGAATGAGGTCCGGACAAGTGGCACCCACAAACATCACGGTATATTTGGTCTTAACCTTTAAAAATAATGAAAAACTAGATCGATTTTTGTTGGACGAGCAGGTGCAGCACAAGCTCGACTTTATACGCGAATACTTGCCGAAAGGGCAGCGGGTCTATATTTTTGGGCATTCCATCGGTTCCTACATGATGTTGAGGTAAGAATAAATCTTTTATAAAGTTCCTTACCATCTTTAGAGTACTTCCCTACATTAAAGACGACTATAACATCCGAAAAGTCGTCGGTTTGTTCCCAACAGTTGAACGGATGGCCATTTCGGACAATGGGCGACGTTTGGGGCGATTGTTATTGGTAAGTTTTATATTGAAATGTAAATACGCTGAATTTATGCGTTTATGAAATACTTTTTATAGTTAATTATTTATCCTGCCTTTAGACGCTCAACGAAAACGATTGGCTCGCAAAGGCGATCACTTTCTGGATCGACCACCTGCCTTTCCCCGTCAAGCGCTGGCTCGTCGGGTTCAATTTGGGAAAGGAAAATGTAAGTTTTTAGACATTACACGAAAAATGACTCATTTTAGGTCCCGATTGATGTAACGAAAAGCGCCACCGAACTTTTGCACATGAACGTTTTTCGGAATATCGTTCATATGTCGGCTGATGAGTTGATAAAGGTAAATTCACCAGCTTTCTCTAGTTCACTTTTACTTTTTAGGTCGCCGATCTCGATATGACTTTGTTGGCGCATAAAGACATGACACACATGTACTACGGGACTTGCGATGGATGGGTTCCGAATACTTACGGTAATTAAATGGTTTTGTATAGATTTTTTTGATGTTTAGGCGAAGCTATGAAGCAACTACTCCCCAACGGCCATGTCCAATTTGATGACGAGAATTGTGAGCATGCGTTTGTAGTTCGTGATGGACACATTGTAGCCAAGAAGGTTGTGCATTACATTAGTTAATCAATTTAAATTTTATTATACTTTTTACAGGTAGTTTTGTCGAAAGTTTTTCTTGCTTTTTGTTCGATTCCGCGTACTTGTATTAGTTTAATTTTTATAGAAACCTTAATGCTTTTCTTTTACCTTCCAGTATTAGAAAATCTATTCCTTTTCATGCATTAGTTGAAATTCGTTATTAATAATTTATCTTTTGCTTGTACACTCGCTCTCGATATACCGGTGTGTTTTGACTATGCGCAACGTGGCCCGTGTGAAGATTTTATAAATATTTACTTCCGCCCAAATCTGTTCACAATTCTAAAGCATTTTTGTACGCGATTTGTTTGTACCGGTTATTTGTAAAGTTTTTTGACCCGTGATACGAGGAATTTTGCGCTATCTTCGTAAAGGGGCCGGCATTTTTGGTTGTAGGCTTCGTCGAAGAGGTGCTTTTTGCAAACGCCTGAATTTTTCGGGATTAAAATAGTAGGAAACCGAAACCTGTAAAAACGCGCTTGACCGTTTGATAACAGGGTGCACATTCCGATTCATCGTAACAGTATTTTGCACAATTTCGCTTGAATACGCAGCCGAACGGATCAGTCGCTATCTGGAAAGATTTTAGGTTTATTTTTTGCGCGAAACGTAGCGAACGAACTAAAAAAACTTAACTGGGCTTGTAGGGCTTACAGGCCTTCTAAATACTTTTAGTTTGCAACAAATAAATAGCTAAAACGCGGAAAACAAAGCTCCCGCTTTATAAATGAAGTCTAAACGCATAATGCGTAATATTAAACGACTGGACCCTGCTATTAAGATTTTTTCTTGATTTTTATTTGGTTACATGCATAAGAATTGCAATAATTCTTTCAGCCAGCTTTATTGCTCACCTCCTCCTTTACACATCTCTGGGCACAGGCTTCGAGATTGGGACAGAGACCATCTGAAATATAGTATTCGTTAGTAAATTCCAGGACTTCATTAATGCACACTCTATAATTTATAACATTTTTTTACAAGTCTCACCTGTTTTTTGATTGAGCACAAAGTGCTTGATCTGATCCTGGGTGTACTTGCAGTGGGGGCACTTTCTGCAGGCCTCTTGACAAGCACTGCCAAATACGCAAGCAAAATTCGCGTGGTGGAGCAGGAACTCGAGGAGCTGGAAATTCAAATGTTAGTACAAATCCCGGTACACATAGGATGGGGGAAGGGGGGGATAAAATAACGGGGGGGGGGGCACTCTAAGTTTTTTTATTATAAAAGTATTTTTAAATATGCTTTTTTGGGCTGTAAGAAGGGCTCCGTTATTTTATGTGCTGCCCATAGTTTTCAAAAATAGTTTTTAGGCTATAAAACTTTTATAATCCATTTTTAACGCGCATCGATTTTGATCATTTTTTGTCTATTCGATAAAAAATTTCATTTACATTATTTCGGGCTGAAATTAAATCTCTTAGTATATTTTTGGACGCTCTATCGACAGTAATTGCAAATTTCATAATAATGAGCGCTGCCCGGTTATTTTATCCCCCCCCCCGCGATCCTATGAGTACTCAAATCCCTTTCAATGAATTCGGGATAATGAAGCATAAAATTTCAGTGGTTTCTTAAAAAAGTTCCTATTGCAGACATCACGTGTCTGGGATCTACCATCAGTCCATCACCACCCATCGCGATCCCAAAAGAACAGCCAAAATCCCTTGGCGCGAATTTCAGTTTTTTCACGCCTTCCGTAGCGTGTCAGCGCGCACTTTGCAAAGTAGTTTTAGACATTGCTCACATTCTCCTTAGCCGGAAATGGTTGTGGCAGAGGTTTGATGCATTTGTTCATTGCGCAGCGCGTCAAATCGTGACAGAGCGGCTCGGCGGAGATCTAAAAAAGGTCTCATTTACGTCGGTGCCGTTGTGAATCAGTTATGTTTTACAAATGTGGAGTTAGAGGACGTAGCAAAACCCCCCATATGTAATTAAAAAACATGAAGAAATTAACGTAGCGTAATTACTAAGGTAAGAAACCCTGAGAAATTTGATAAACCTACCACATTTTTAACCAGCACCAAGCAATTGAAAAGAGCAATAAAATAGAATAGCATGCTTGAGATTTACGGTAGCGAGGGCGACCTTTAGAAAACAAATTCCGCGCCTTGTCCTCCTCCGCGAATGGGTGTCAGGTGGAGTGTGTCGGAGCGGCTGACAATTGACAGTCCCCACCCCCGACAAGAAAATGGGTGATATTTTATGCTGGAGAAACCCCCGGGGCGGAAAGGCAGCAAAAATTGAGCATCAGCGCCCACCCCCCGGAAACTGGTAGCTTTCGGAAATTTTTGGTTGTTTTTGCCGGGCTCTATGGAAGTGTTTCTCATTTTGGCTGCATCTCCTTGAGCTTTTGTCTTTGATGCCCTGCGGGGGTGGTGTAATTTCGGCGCGTACTACGGAAATTTCATCTCTTTTCCTCGTTTCTTTCTTTCTGTACCCCGGCCATTTTTTCGGGTGGAACGAGAACTTGTTGTCGCCGCCGATATGTTGCCGGTCAGATTTGAAAAGAAGATAACATTATTGTAGTCGCCGGGGGGTGGTTGGTGATAGTTGCAGAGCGCTGCAAATGTGCGAATTCTTCTCAAAACAGTTGAAAAATAGAAAATCGAATGGTAAAGACGTAGCTAGCCAGAGAGCTTCGTGACTGATTGAACTGCTTCGTCTCCTCGAAGGCAGTTGGAGATGTATTACGTGAAAAGCGTTTAAGATGGCATACGGTTTTTTTTGTTTTTGGCAAGCTATGTTGCTGCCTGACGTAAATTTTGAAATTAGAATGGCTTCACGATGGAAGAATTTACTCCGAAATGTTCCTTACAGTAATCCGTCCTCACATATGCTAAAATTTCCATCCGTGACCTAACCTATTTTGTGTAGATCATTCAACTGATTCCGAATAGCTTTGAGCAGGAGCTTGATTTCTAAAACCTATTTCATGATTTTTAGAGGGAGAGCAAAATAAATTCGGGCCGTTTTGAACAAATACAGACATAATTTCGCAGATCAACCTTTTTATTAAGTTGCTAAAACAGTTCCGAAATCGACACAAAAATTAGCGCCAGATAGACTAGGTCCCGCATCGAGCTTTTGACCAATGCCCTACATTATTTCTAGCAAGGTTTTTCGGAGCAGGCCGATCGGGCACAAATGATTTCCCTCTGCCGCATAGCATTGTTTTTAAATCGAGACTCCTTCTGGACTACAGAAATTATTGATGTCTTGGCCAGCAGGAAGTAGCTCCTCTCTCCAAAAACTTGAAACCAATATTGCCAGGCTGAAGCTGAAACGCAAAATATCGTATTTGCTCTTATCGTTGCTCGGCGTGTGTTGTATATTTTGCTTTGGACGTAACAACAATACGAAAGACCATTGTAAGTTTCCAACACGGGCGAAAAGCCCCTAAAAATTTAGCGTCAACTCCGAAATGGAACTTTTATCGGCCAAGGGTTCCGCTTCATGACTTGATTCCGGTTAGTCGACCGAAACTCGAAAAGCCAGCATCTATCCCGGATTCGACCGCGAGAATGATCATTCTTGGTAGCTATTGTCAAGCCATTTACATACGTAGCTCCGTTCTTCCGTATCCGATAGTAGTCTATCGTTTTCAGAAGGTTCCTACACTCCGGAAGACTTTCCTGAACTCCCTGATCTATATGTTGTAGCCGTCGAGGTGGATGAAGGTTACAAGAGCGAGGACTTGGATGAAATTCGCAAAAGTAAGTCTTGTTTTCGTAGAATCGATTCGGCTATTTAGCAAAATCCTCCGACGAACTTTACTTCTTTATCGACCGGAAATCAAATGACTTTTTCGAAATTTTCGATCCTGTCAATGCTACAGTACTTCGGTTGATGCCAAAGTCAGTTTTTGGATGGTTTTTTAATACCAGGAAATTTTCGCGAAGTAAACACTGTACAGTTTTTAAATTTGATGATTTAATGGCTTTTTTAGAAATGCCTACAGGCAAGAAGGGGATATTCTGGTACCCCGCGATCTCGAATTCCACGCAAGACTCTGGGAGAGCTCCCGGATGATTGGATGTTTGAATTGTAGGGACTTTTAGCTTGTAGTTTACATGATTTTGACCTTTGAAATCCTTGTAAAATAGTTGAAAGAGTATACCGATTTTAGTGACTATTTTGCGAAATATCATCGAGCCTCCAAAGCTGATGCCAGACGATCTCCACTGGCTGTCGGTGCTCCGGGATCTGCATTTCGAGTATCGATCCATACCATTCTTAATTGGGGGTACCTTACTAGGTAGGCCATATAGCTTTAAAGGGGCTCCGAACTGCCAAATCAAAGCCCTTTTGGGAGGCCTCTTTGATTTCTGGCAAATTGCCAGCGGGCGCTGCGGGACGAGAGCCCTCACTCTTTCGATTTTTGCGCGAACTTGGTTTTGCCCAGTTTCTTTAGGAAAACACTATAATTCGCGCATTCTGAGCCCATTTTTAAAATTCTCACTCAATTTCAAATAGTTTTGGTGCTTTAATCATCAAATTTGGCCCATAAACAGCCGAAAATGCGATTTCGAGGTGACGGCAGGGAATTTCAAGTTTACGAGCTTCCCGGGCCCCTAGGTGTACAGGGGCCTCCCACGTACAGGGCTCTCATTTTCGGGCCGTCACTCAATTTTTGGCATTTCGTAGCCCCTTTAATGGAACTATAAAACAAGATGGAATCGTGAAAACAAAAGTTATCGATTGCTTCAATTTTCAGGCTGGCGCCGTGAATGTTCCGTAATTCCGCACACGACCGATATGGATATTGCTAGCTTTGAGGACGAATTCCCGATGGCACTAATCGAAGACGCCATGAACATGACGGCGACGGCGTTTCGACTGTTGCAAATCATAGGACGGGTACGGGATTTGTTACATCGAGTTTATGCGTTTTTTATGGCGGTTGACGCGTCCTGTGCTTACAAAAGTTTAGCCCGGCGACAGCTACGAGGCGACCTTTGGGGGCCACACCGAGCGTGGGGCTCCATGGTGGGTTGACGTCTTCACAATGTACCGTGATCCTGAAAAACGGCGCTGCTACACGACAATAGTTTATGGTGAACCGGATTATTTAAAGTATCGGGACGAGTATCCGTGGTGCGTAGATTCATCGTTTTCTGAGGTAGCTTGCACAGGTTCGAAGCTGAATTCTGTACGGCTGTGATGCACGGCTACATGTTTCATGTCCCATGTGATCCGGACCCGATTCTGGAGGTATGTAATAGCGATGCTACTCGCGGTCTTATGGACCTCAAATTTTAACAAACCGAGGTACAAACCTGTGCGCGTTTTAGGCAGATTATGGCCCAGATTGGCGCGTGGATCGTCCTACCGATGAGTACAGCTATGGCAAAAATGTGGTGGAAAATGGAAACTTTGCGGCTGAAGGGTAGAGCTTGTCGCCGTTTACTGATTATTTTCAAGCTCTATGATAAGAAAACAGTAGAGGTCCCGTCTAAAAAAACGCATTTCCTACTATATAAAAAAAATAGTGTCTGTATGTGTGTGTGCATTTGCATGCAACTTCCGTGAGGAGGTTCCGCAACTACAGCCTCAGGGAAGAATTTTTTCGATTGGGCAGAGACGTCATTAGATAAAGAAGGGTCCGGAATCGACTGCACGCACATAAAATCTTTGAAAAATTGCTATTTTCGCTATTAAAAACAAGTTTTTGTAAAATTCTCGCCCACCCTCTTTGTTAGGGATCAATTAGCATAAGCCGGAAGTGGGATGGCCCATATAAAGCGACAGAGGAACCGTTTTTGCACTTTTTTCCTGATAGATTTCAGGGAAGAAGCATGCAAATTGAAGCCTTTCATCGGTCCTAGACGGGGCCAGGGTTGAAAAGCCGCGAAGCGGTTTTTCAACCCTGGTAATTTCTTAACTATCTTTGCCTTTTCACGGAGAAGGTCTTCCGATACTTGTGAATGAGAAGCTGTGCAGAAACAATCTCCGATACCTTTGTGATTACCTTTTACCTTTTTATGAAGCTAGCTGGTTGTAAATTTTTATGTATGCCTATTAAACCATAAGCTCTAAAATATGTCTTGCTTTCTAAAAAACAAACATTTCCAAAACACCCCGCTTCTCCTCTCTTCCGTTTGCCTCGCTTAATTTTTCTGAGAATTCCCAGGGATCTGGAGATGCTGAAAGAAGCCTCCTCCTCTACTCCTTCTGCTCCTCCTGAAGCCTTTAGGTCCACAATTTTGCGGGGCGCTAATTGGGGGGCGGGAAAGACGAATTCGGCTCGCCGGGAGAAGGCGCCGCCAAAATGGATGCCCGTCACGCAACATTTTCACCCTCTTTCCTGCCAAGGCTAACATTTCCTAATCGGCGCTCGAGCGTAAAGTGTATTAGTTAGTTAGCAGTAGTAGTAGTAGTGCGGTGTTTTGGCATCGTATCGTAATTAACATCATAATTACATAATCGAGGCGTTTTTAGGTGTAAAAATTCGCGTACAGCGAATATTACTGTATTACTAAGTAGTATTAGTGTTAGAGAATCGAATAAACCGGAAATTTACGTTATAATTACAGCTTCGAAGCGTTTTTAACTATAAAAATTACGGAACACCCAATTTTCCGCCATTCCGCTCGACACCTGTGAACAACACAAAAACACTCGTGCTTCTTAAGCCCATCGCTTTTGTCAGCGGCTGCTTGTGAGCATGGGGGCACATAACAAGGCGACAAATTGAGTTTTTGGGGGCAACGGCTCAAGATGATAGCCCTCCTCGGGGTCGGCACCCATATATCCTCGGGGGCTCAACGGGACCCAGATGTCGCCTCGTTTTTCTTTGGAAGCGGCTTGAGGACTTTACAAAGTTCACTCGAGCTCTTGTTGATTTTTTCGGTATTTTTCGGTGGTTGAGCATGAAGTCATGCTCCTTGCACTTCATATCTTTTGCAAATTCACGGTTTTTGAATTTTGGAGTTTTTAAAATTTTAACAGCTTTCCGACTAAAAAATCAGAGGGAGGAAATATCATGAAACTTGTTTTCAAAACTAGCCTCCGAAAAGCTGCCTTTTTATTGTTTGTTTTTCCGTTTTTATTTATCTATTCCCTTTCCCAAAACTTTCTGAATGTTTCCGGTTTTTATTATAACTATTTTTATAAAAGCCCCTCACATATTTTCACAGAAAACTCCATAATAAGCTTAATTACCATCTCGATGCGGCTATCTTGACAATTTACGCCTCTAAAAGCCGCCTTTATCATCCCAATTTTAGAAAGGAACACAATTACCGGCACTCAGAGCATTCGGCTTAAAAACCTAGGAAAATCGGAATATTCTGAAGTCAATACAAACTATAAACAGACGTTTAAAACGTATGCACAACACCAAATTGGTAAAAATACTGTCTTGAAAAGCGTGTTATCTGGATGATCACGATCATCACCGGCTGTTTGACCTTCGACATCTGCATTTTTTTGAAGCATCACCGCTCTGCCCTTGAGGGCCGTCTTCCCAATCCTGACCCCGTCCCGGTTCAGACCCATCCGGCTCGCGCCGGCTTGGTGCAGAACAAGGGGATTTTCGGGGTCTCGACACAACAAGGAAGGAGAAGGAGAAGAAGGAGAAGACGAGAGTCCTTGGGGGGAGGGCGGTTGAATGAATGAACCCCCAGCCCGCCTTCCCGCTCTCTGTTACTGTTGTCTGTCTCTTCCCCTTCAGCCCATCTTCCACTAATCCGTACGCAAAAATACCATCCACCACCCCGGACACACGGCCCATCCACGAAAAGACCTTGACTCGGGCTTTGAGGAGGCTGCTCCCTTGCATCGTGTCCATTTCGCTGCCATAACCCCTCAATACGTTATGGGAGTCTATTCGGGAAATCTGGTTAAAGGGGCTTCGAAATCTGGTCCACGGCCCCCCGCGTTGATTCCTGGCAAATTGCCAGATGCCGCCGCAACTCGACCGCGCCGCATGACCTTTCGGCCCTGATTGGACGTGAAAACGCCTGAATTTCAAAATTCTGACGCTATTTCTGGAGTCCTCATAGAATTTTGATCATTCTAGACTTTTCATGTAATCGCCGCGCACTCAAACTGTCGTTTTGGCCCCGAAAACATTTCCCTTTTTCTCAAATATTTTACGTTTTTGCGACGAAATCACTTTTCTGCTCCTTCTTGGCAGTAACCCTTTCGTTTTTTGACCAGTAGGTTCAATCCCCGCATGCACGAATTTTGACTTCCGAGCCCCTTTAAGGGAGAGGGTAGCTAGGTGCACGGTATTTTTTAGACCGCCCGACTTTTTGCTTTGCTCGGCTCCACCTGGCTTCCAAGCTTCAATTAGATAACCCTGGGATTTCTTTCGGCAGCCGCCGCCGGGTGCCCCTCACAAATTTGTAATTGAGCCAGCCGATCCATCCGGGCTCCAATTTCTTTACACTAATTCGTGTCTCGGGTTGTGGTCCATCAGAGGCGTCAAATGTGACACCTCAGAGAGACCACCACAAATATCGCGAAAATGCCACAAAAACCATACAAATCTTCTGTTTTCAAGATCGTTTTGCGCCAACAATACCTAACTGTATGTTTATACTTGCGTAAGTCATGCTACAAACGAAACGTGGCGTGGCGAAATCTATAAAAAAAGTCCATAACGGAAAAATACATAGGCGTGCCTTAAGCGCCCCTTTAAAACGTGCTCCAGCTCTATTTCCGACCTCAATTCCATGATGCTCCTAATGCCAACCCCCCCAGGGACCTACTCCAGGCAGAATTGGCATTGACATAATTCCACCCATCCGGTGCCCAACCCCAAATCTGTCCCTTCCATGGATTATGAGGCGGAGCAAACCTAGGCCAGGAAGAACGGAATGATGGGGCAAGTAAGACCCCCCGAGAATCTTCGAGGGCCCCTCACCCTAATGAGCTGTTGCTGCCTAAGTGGCCAAAGTGTGCCCCGGGCGGTGGGGGAGGCGGCTAATCGCTAGGTATGTAGGTATGCCCGCTCGGGAGTTTCCATGAAAAGGGTGTCATTTGGTGTCTCGTGTAGCATCAGATTTCGGGATTACACCTGCGAAAGACTTCACCTGGCTGGATTCACGTATGTCGACTATTTTTGAACTAAGGATTCGCCACTTTCTTGAGTTTTCAGATTCGAACTCAAATTTTTAAATTATTTTTTCATTAAATTTAGAGAACGTGGATGGAAAATTCAAAAAGCGAGGTTTTTCTGGTTCTCTCTCTCTCTCGCGAGCTACATATGTCTCTCCTTCTCCCTCTCTTTCTCATTCTTTCTGTCTTTCTCTCTCTCTCTCTCTCTCTCTCTCTCTCTCTCCTCTTTTTCGCAAGGTACTTCCGTTGTATACTGGTTCTTCCGGTACTTCTGTTTATTCATTTTGCAATTCATAACCCGAACGTTACGCAGCGCTTCACTGACCATTTTCCAATTTTGAATTCCTCACAATTCGGACCAGTTTTCCCACCCCCGTCGGCAGCTAATTTCAGGCCGCTCGAGGGGATTTTTGCAGGGCCTGGGTTGTCGCACGTACTACCAAACACGCAACACCCCACCAACCCTGTCCGCTTGCGCATGAATATATTCCGCGCCGCCGGCGCCGCACCTCATTCTCCGCCTCTTCATCCCCTCATCCCCTTTTCGGGGGGTGTTCCTCTTTTGACCGCAGTCGGCTAGTCGGCGAGCCTCGCCTATGTCATTCTCCCTTCGCTCCCCTCCCCACAGCCCTAATTTGCATATTTTCACTGCGAAACACGCGGCGGCGAGCGATGGAGGCTTTCAGTGTTTCCATGGGTATCTGTGGGACCGGGCTGCTTTGGCCGGTGTTTGTGCCTGTTTCTGTGTATTGTCGTTTAGGGCCCGGTTTTCACAGCTATTGTATAGATTTTGGGGGTACTGTAGTGTAAATTTTTGGTGAAAATATTTGCTTTTGTAGTACAGCTTTTGCGCAATTTTTCTAACTTACATCAAAAGTCATTACTCCTCGCATTAAAATATTGTTTATTGAAGCTTGCTAGCTGTTCAATCAATTAATATATTGTTTTAAGGACAGTTTCCATGACAATGTTTTAATTTTGACTCTGAAAAGCTAAAATAAATCACGCATAACTTATTGGCACTTTCCTACTCGCACCCTCTATCTCTTTCTCAGTCTCCTTTTCTCTCTCTCTCTCTCTCTCTCTCTCTCTCTCTCTCTCTCTCTCTTTCTCTCTCTCTCTTGTTCTCTCTCTAGCTCTCTTCCAAGTTACAAGCGTATAGGTTGAAACTTCTCGTAATCAACGCGCGAAAACTAAAACAGCGTTTCCTTAAAGATCACTCCTTTGGGATCTCCTTATTGTCCGTAATATCCCCTGCTTTTTGACGAATATGCTGAAAAATCTCGGCTTTCTATGCGCCCTAAAATGCGCAACAAGCGCACGAAGGGGACAATACTGCCCTATAGGCCAAACATGTTATAGCCAGCCGGTCAATGGTCCCGATTCGCGATATCAATTCCCCGAATACCCTGCGGGGCGAGAAGACGAATACGACGGGAGGGGGCCATAAACGGGCGCGCCCCTCGCTCGGCGCCCCAAAAAGAGGTGGCAGTTGGACCGTGTCGTAATCGTACGTATTAGTCTCGAGGGGATACGGGAGTAGATAGTATCTTCATCGGCGGCCCCCTATCCCGGGGTTGGCTCTTTGGCTGGCTTCGGGTTAGTGATTTCTGGACCGGAAGCAGGTGTAAGTTGTAGGTTCTAGGTATTTGGATTGACTGAACAGTCTAAAGGCTTAAAAATGTCCTTTTGAAGCCCGACAGACCCATAAATATCCCTCTAGATCGCCATAAACTTGCTATTTTTCTGGAGTCCCTTAAAAGAGTCGTAAAGGTCGCGCGGAATTTTTCTGATTTTTTTCGCGAACCGCTCGAAAATTACTTTAATTCGTGGATTTTGTCTAAAACGTTCATTTTCCGTATATTATTTTTCGTATAATTTTCACCTGCCACACCTTCATTCGACGCTGAAGATAAAAAAACTGAACCCCCGTGTCCCACTCGAAATGAGCTGTCACCTTCCCAGCCCCCACACACGCAGCGTCCAGCGGCGCCATTCGCTTCGAAAAATTCTTGACACTTTTGATAAGAGGCGCCGGCCAGCTGGTTGCGTCGCAAAAAGTTGTATTGATTCTACACTTGCCAAGTTTTTCGAGTTGTCAGCTCGCTTTTTGACTTTTCCACGATATTCCTAACGCTTTTTACATCTAAGATCTCACATTTTATATATTATTTTACATCTAAGATCTTAGTACACTCATTTTTTACGTTTCCCATTCCCGGAACTCAAACTACCCCCCCGCCCTGGAATTTGCCGACGGGTCGAACATGCGAGAAAAGCATGGCCCGCCGGCTTATTCCACCGCTTTTGGGGCCCCCCCCCCCATTCTGCATAGGCGCCAAGCGCAAATATTGCCCACTTCTGCAGCAATCTTCCCACTAGGGCCCCGGCGCTTTTTAGCCCTTAGCCCGCCGGGGGGAAGTCAAGTGCTTGTAGTCGGGTTTTCGGGATGCTTTTTGTTTCCAGGTGTTGGTTGGCTTCAGGGTCATTTTGTAGTGTTTCTTGGTTATGGATGTTTGGCTGTATTTTTAAGATCGTCTCTAACTCTCGTGCTCTCGCTTGATAAAGTTCATTCTCGCTTTGTTTTTCTTGCCCTTTTGCTCTTTTTCTCGAATTGCTCGATTCCGGTTCCCCTAATGCTTTCTGCTCACCTGCCTCTATTTCGACGCGTTCTCAGAGCTCGCCTCTCTCTCGTCCTTTATCTCTCTCTCTCTCTCTCTCTCTCTCTCTCTCTCTCTCTCTCTCTCTCTCTCTCTCTCTCTCTCTCTCTCCCTCTCTGGCTTACTCCCAGTATTTCTTGCTCATGCACTCTCTCTGTTTCACGCTCTTTCGCTCTTGCTCACCATTTACCGCTATGCCTCGTGCTATCGTTCTTTCTTCTTCTTCTCTCTCATCCGCTCTCCCTCCCTTTTTTCTTTCATCTCCCTCTAGCGCCAATTACTGTCTTGATCCCCGGTTTCCGAAATCCTCTATGCTAGCTTCCCTTCCTCTTATTTTGAGCTACAACAGAAGAAAAAGCACATATTTTTCCCAAACGAAAAAGCAACCTCCCACCCGCACAGGCTCGCAGGCTTCTCAACTTTCATGACGCCGCGTTTCGGGGGCAAACCACGGGAGGGGGCCCAGGGTCTGCCAAGCGGCAGCTGTATTTTTTGCGTGGACTCCGTATCCGCACCCTCACTTCTCTGCGCCATCCACCGGGTCCTTGATCTTATGCACCCCGCCGAGTGGTCCGGACGCGGAAAGATGCACCCGGCAAGTGACAGACAGAGCGGTTGACTCGTAGGCATAGAGAGAGAGAGAGAGAGAGAGAGAGAGAGAGAGCGAGAGAGACAGAGCGACGGAAGGATGGCCAAAGCCCGGTCCACGCCACTCTAACAGCCGGCGTGCATCGACGACCATCTTTAGCAAGGCGTTTTTCGACTGAGAATGTGGCTAATTGTTTTTGTCGGTTTTTTCACTTTAAGTTATATTTTATATTGTTGTTATGTCAATCAAGTCCTTTTGATGATGCTGAAAAACCTCCACATGAGCTGATAAGGACCTAAAAATTGTAATACCCGATGGAGACATACGTTGATTTTAAAACGGTTTCGTTCCGGGGGTTTTTTGCCAAAAGGTATTTTCATAACATCCAATATTTAACGCTTGAACAATTTTCTTCACAAGTTAAAAGCCTTCGAATTACCGCTTTAAGGTTCATTTACGAGAAAAACAAGACATTTCTCTAAATCCTGAATTTTTAAGATATTTTTGGCCCCCTCGACTTCAAATTTTTGCGCTAGTCTTGTGTTCCACTTGCCCACCACTGCCCCGCCTCCTTTTGCTACTCATTGAATTTTCCAAAGTGGCCATTTGGCCATTTATTTCCGCATTACACCCCTCAACTACCACCTCCTAGCCCCACAACACTCGGCAGCATACTTCGAAACCTACAATTATAGGGGGTGGCCCATGAATAACGGGGGGTACTCGGGGGGTATGGGTATGGGGAGGGGAGGGTGTGAACTACCGCAATTCATGGCCGCAGACCATTTTCGGTTTCAATACGCTCATTACGGGTGTATAATATCCGTGAATTTCGTCCGGCTTTTCAAGCGATTTGACATACCAATATATCGATTTTTGAGGCCTGAAGGTAGCTACTCACTAAAGATATAAAAAATGTTTGGATTCGGATTTTTTGCGACGATTTTCGTAGCTCCCAAAAAGCGGCGTAACCGATTACGCACTGAAAACTGCCTTTAAACGACAAAGGTAATGCTTTTAGCGTTTTTTTTGCCCCTAAAATTGCATTAATCGGAGCGCTAAAGCCCCAAACTCAACAAGGCCCCCACCTAATCCGTTCCTCGTCCACCCCCAGCGGTTTGTCCCTAACTTTTTTTTGGGTCACCCTGCTGCTGTGGAGTCTGTGTTTATTCTTCGGCTACCTTTTTTGTGCCCCACTACGGGCGTCCCGAACCGGTGTGTGTCTACGTGCCACTGATCCGTTTTTCCGGGACAAGCTCCCCGTTTTTTAGGGTAGCTAATACGTCCTCAATACATAGTGAGGCCAACGGGCGATTGCAAAAAGCTGAAATTCCCGTCTTACATTACCAGATAAAAATTATTGAAACGTTATTGATTTTTCGAGCTGAAATTTCGGCTCGAAATCGTCATAAAATTGGAGGCAAGTTCTACAGTTAATCGGCGCTTTGGTTTCTAGGATTTATGCGCCACAGAAAACGATATATTCCTGCTACTTTCTAACGAGCTTTCTACTATTTTATTTTTCGAGCCAGATTTTTGCGTTTTTTTAACCTGTTTTGAGCTGCTTCACCCATTTTTTTGTTGTTTACGCAATCAGAATTGATGCGTTAATTCCGTAATAAGCATATTTGCTTTTTTTTGCATTTATATTATGGCGCTAGCTAGCAAAAATTATTTCTCCTGAAGTTTTTGTTTACGTTTCCATTGGTTATATCAAAGTCGAAACCTCTATCTCATTGATTTTTTTTTCAGGTCCATGTTCAAACGTGTCGTGGACAAGTTCACCGATGCAGCCTGGCAGCTCGAATTGGTAATCCATCAAATAATACGTTTATATTTGTAAATATAAATAAATATAAGCACAGTAAGCTTGACTTTTAGAAAATCAACACCTGGTCCCTGCTCAGCATCCCGCAAGAGAGATGGCGCTGGTTCACGGCATTTGTTTACCTGCACTTCTTCTTGGCCACGGCACTTTTTGTTTTTGGTGGGGTCCTTAGGCGGGTCCTAAAGGGATTGGGACAGGCTTTCAACAGCTTCTTGACCTGAACTCAACGGTGTTGATGGATAACATAAGATATCTGTTTAGGGATCATCTGTTTCTGTCTGGGGATGCAGTTCTCGGTGATGTATGAGGAGGTGAACTGCTCGGACGGGACGAATATTTTTATGCCGCTGTTGAATTTGGTGGGTAAATTGCAAAACGCCGAAAATGGTAATTAAAGACCAAGAGAAAGCAAAATTCACAGATTCAGATGCAATTTTCAGATAGCCTCCTTCACCGGACTCTTTACGTTGAGAACCCTCCACCTCCACTGGCCGGCTTTCATCCATTTTGTATCACTCTGGGTGGTACTACCGATTAATATTATACAATCGGCTGATTCGGCTGCGGCTTCTCACAGGTGGGTTCATGGGGTCTTTAAAATGGGCGAAATATCAGTTGATAGCTATCGTAACCGGTTTGAAAAAGTGCAAGCAAAGATTGAAGAAAAACCATTGAAAAACTGCATTTCACCAGCTTTTCAGACCAGTTACGACGTGTATATCGTACATCATTTCCAGGTGATTTACCTAGCGTAATTTGTTTGGAAGAAGCGCGCCAATAAGAATTTTGAAAAAACTATCAAAAACTCAGATTTCTCGATCGCTTGAAAACAATTACGGCATGTATTTTGTATCAAAAAGTACCCGAAATCGCAACCTATCGAGACAATACCTGCTTTAAATAGCTATCAATAAATCGACAAAGGAGTATCGAAAACCGATAAGAATTTTTTCAGATGGTTCCACTACGAAAAAACAACGCGCAGCCCAACGGAATGGGCCCGAAATTACGCCTACATGGATATATTTTTGGCCATGATGGGATTGATAAATGGTAATGTTTTGTCTTAATTTTCCATACCTATTTCCCTATTTTCTAGACGTCATCTGCGTCTGCTTGCTCTACATTTTACTCAAATACTGGTGCCGAGACCACTCCGCCCAGAATTCACCCCGTTCCACGAGGCCTTTACGATAGTCAAAATTGAAAATGACGAATTTTCTCTAGTCAAAATGTTGTTTTTTTCAAAACCTGGGTCATCCTCTGATCTCGTCTTTCCACCGCTGGTATAACTTCTAGTTTGACTGATGTATGGAATTCTAGTTCTTTGCATACTTTTAGTCAATTTTGTGATATTTCGATTGACTTATGATTACGGGTATCCAAATGAATGGATTCTGCAATAAAGAATATTTATCTAAAATTGATAGAAACGCAATTAAAGGTATTTGCAAGCGCAAGAATCGACCCCTTGGAAGGCTGGGACTTGACATCTACAAGCCGCGTTATAGGATCTTTACAGAAAATTGACATTGTTAGCGTGTTTTGGAGTGCTTAGGAGTTTACGGAGCTTTTTTAGACGCTTCAGAAGGTACAACTCTCTTCAAAATACACAAAATTACCCTTACTGTACGGCTTTAATTCGTAAAAAAATATAAAAATGTTTGTTTTTGTTAAAAGCTTGAAAAGTTAAATTCGCATAGCTAGTGGATTTCCATAATCCTGTTTTTAGCCAGACCAACAGCTTTCCCAACCGCTGCCGACCCTCATCGAGTAGCCTTCTAGGCGTCGTGTTGCCCTATTTTTTGGGCGTAAACAGGGCCCACCCCCCACGCCCCGGGTGCACTTTTGGGGGCCATATAAAAGGGAGGGGAAACAAGAGTCGGCCCGCATGGGCTTACTGCGAAATACTTTGTTTTAGTTCAATCTTACTTGGCTATTTTAAAAAATTTTATTAAGATTTCCAGAAAATCTACCCGACGAACTAACGCAAATTTGAAAGATGTTGGCCGGAAAAGGAATTGTGAGTTTTTGCAAGATTCTTGATGTTAGGTAAAAACCAAAATTCTGGCCGACTAGCCCTTTCTCACCTGATTTAACTTTATGATGATGAAATTAATTCTGTAAATAATTTATACAAATTTGAATGGGTTTTTTTAGCGACGCGCAGTCTCCCAGGGCCGCCAGTTTGTGCGCAACGCAGTTACGGGCGGTTACGGCCAAACTCCACTCGACACGAAGATTCCGAGGTTACCTATTAAAAATTGTACAAAAATATTTTTTTAGCAAGAGCGCCATGTCAAAATACGCAACAGTGGCCGGAGTCGGGGCCGCTGGTGTGGCGGCTTATGCCTATTTCAGGCCGACTGATCGGGTATGTTTTTGGAAGCGCTGAAAACAGCATAGCTTTGACCGAACTGTAGAAATTGATAACTTCGTTATTAAAAGCTACATTTATAAAGTTTTGATTGTGACAAAAATATCAAAAACAAACTCGAACTCTGTCCCCAAATTTAGTCCCGCCCTAACGCCACCTCGGGCCCGATGGTCATGCAGCCAAATTCAGGCTCTGTGCACAGGTAAGAAATAATGTTTTAAATGGCCTTAAAATTAAATAGCCTTTTATACTACATACTATATACTTTACTACTTTACTACATACTACTTTTATACTATAAAAATAGCACGTTTTGTTATCCCTTTCGTATAAAACAAGTTATTAGACGTCCAAGCTATAAATCGATTTCAGAGCCCACCAAACCCTTGGCGTCGACCGAGCCGCCACCGAGTAAATTTGCCGCAAATGGCTATGCAACAACGCGCTACAAATTGTACATAGATTTTTGTATGTATAATATCTATTAACAGACGGGAATAAACAGTTCGTAAAGCGGAGTTTAAAGGAAGTCGGCCAACAAAACATAAAAAAGCCCAAAATAGCACAAAAATCGTCAAAAACCTGCTGTTCTCGAGAGCGGAGGCAACATTTGATAACTGTAGTCTGGCGCTTGATCAAGGTCAGCGCAATTATAGTCCGCCGTGAGCACGATCCATCACACTTGTTGTTTTCGTTCTTATTAGGATGGTTCAGCTCCCCAAATTTTACTGCTTTCAGTCCAAAAGTTTCAGGCTTTTTTAACGTGTGAAACCGGTTTTTACTGCTTGAATTTCGTAAAATCACGTTTTTACTCGCCTCCAAAAATTGATAAAAGGACTTTTCAAACGTGACTATGGCGTTGAATTGTGTATTTTTTTGGGGGGAAAAAGCGGTGACAAATCGGGAAAAGTAACTTTTTGCGTGAAAATCTCGTGAAAAAGAACTATTTTTTTACTTCGAATTTTCCTAGGGACATTTTGAGACGTTTTTGAAACATGATTTGTTGGAAATTTGTCAAAATATGCTCTGAAAGCTTCAGCTTTCAAAAACTAGCACAATTAATTTGTTAGGAAAATCGCCAGCCAGTGGTAGACCGCGTTATCACCACCCGGCAGCATAGAATACAAAGTGATCTCTGTCAGTCTTGATAAGAAACGCATAGTATTTTTGGTGGCGAGGAACTACCACAGTCTAGTGATTATTGGTGGCTTTTCAATCAATAAATTTTTTTTTATATACTCTATTATTATGCTAATTTCAGCCATGATATTGATACTTCTCACACTTGGACTTGCCTACTACGTGATCAGCTACTATGCGTGGGTCCGGAAGTTCCCGAAAGGGCCGAAACCGCTGCCGTTGATCGGGAATTTGCATCAGGTATGTTTAGTTAATTTTTAGCGACGCTGGACACTACGCTAGACTCCAAAATGCGAAAATTAACGTGATAAACTTCTAGTTAAATCCCCGCCAGCTGTACATGCAATTCCGCAAATGGAGCAAGGTATACGGTGATGTGTTTACCGTATTCACCCCTCGCCCGTTCGTCATCATCACAAATTATGAAGGAATTAAAGAGGCGTTTGCTACGAAAGGTATCTATTTTTAATCCAGAAAACGGCCAGCAATAAAGACGTTGATGAGGCTTTTAAGGTGAGGAATTCGCCGGCCGAATGGGGACTTTCCCGAATACCGTATTCATGCAATCCGGCAACAATGGTGGGATCTTGTTTTCGCAAGGGGATGTGGGTTTTTACAAAGCTTTCAATCAGCTAAACTCTCAGAAAATACCTACTTTAATGCCATTATAGAGGTGGAAGGAAGCGCGACGTCAATCTATCCATATCCTGCGTGATTTTGGTATGGGGAAAAATTTGATGGAGGAACAGGTTTGCAGCTAACAAACGCTTTCATTAATGCATTTTCAAAAATTTTCCGAATTTCTTGCGCTTTTCACCATAATCCAAAGACTATCAATTTAAATAAAAAAATGTGGAAAATGACTGAAAAGGTTTTTTATAAATTCTTTTAGGTCAAAGTTTGCCTCACCGATTTGCTCGACCACATCGAAGCCGAGCATTTGAATAAGGAAACCTCGATGCGATGGCCGTTACAAGTCCGATTCTTACAGTTACCGTACCAAAAAACGTCTAGATCTTTGTCTCCAACGTCATCAACAAGACGCTCTACAACTTCTCGTACTCTTTCAATGACTGCGATCGCCTTCTCGAATTTGCTGATAACCTCCAGACCCTGATCGAGACGATGAAAACCGTATTCAAAGCTTGAAAATGTTTTTGAAGGTTTCTCCAGAATCGAGCCACCTACATGATCACCAACTTTCCGTGGATGTCAAAGATCCCGTTTTTCGGCTGGTACGGACAGGGATGGTTTATGAATGTCAGCAAAGCGGTAGAAAACCTTAGAAAACTTACAAATCGTGATATTTTAGCTCAAAAGAATCGTTAGTGAAGATGTGGCAAATGCACTCAAAGATTACGATGTCAAGGACGAGCCGAGTTGTTTTGTGCAGGCTTTTCATCAAAGGACGATGAATACACCATCTATAGCGTAAGGATCTCTCAATCACTCTCTCTCTCTCGATATCTCGCTCTCTATATCTCGATTTCCCTCGCTCTCTCCATTTCTCTCTCACTCACTCTCTCTCTCTCTCTCTCTCTCTCTCCATTTCTCTCTCTCACTCTCTCTCATTCTCTCTCTCTCTTTCGCTCTGTCTCTCTCGTGCGCTCTCTCTCTCTCTTCTATCTCGCTCTCTCTATCTCGCCTTTTCTCGCTCACTCTCTCTCTCTCTCTCTCGCTTCTCAATTTCTGTTAAGTCTCCGATGAAAACCAGCAACGGCGCTAAGGGCTCCTTCGGGCTCCAAAAAAAACGCTTTCAACCTTGAAGAACTAAAAAACCCCATGAATCATTGGCCCCGGTACAAAGACGAACTTTTTCAACCCAAATTTGCCGCGGGGGAGGGGGAAGTGCATCATCATCGAGTTGCCCCTGGGAAGAGACGGGCAGCTAATCTGGAATCCCCCGGATTAGCCCCATTACTATACCCTCATTCAAGTCACACACGTTTTCGGGGTCAAGCCACGTGTGTTTTTCGTCAATTTTGTAGTTATTTTAAGCCAACAAAGCCACAATATTAATTCGCAAACCCTGATCCGGAAATGGCGGATTTGGGAAACCCAAAATAAAGCCCGAAAAAATTAGTAAAAACCGGGATTTGGATGTGACTAATAAAATAATGCAAAAATAACAAAGCACCAGCGCTCACTCTCTCCGCTCACTCTCTTTTCTCGCTCACTCTCTCTCACTCTCTCTCTCTCTCTCTCTCTCTCTCTCTCTCTTTCTCTCCCTTTTTGTCCGGCGCCCTTACTATCGTTAAATTCCAGCGATCAAACCACCGATGTTGCTATGGATTTCTTCATTGCTGGCTCGGAAACTACGACTACAACGTTAAGATGGGGACTTTGCTATTTAGCGGACAATTTGGATGTTCAGGTAAATTTTTTATACATACTTCATTTAAACCTGGTTATACAACAAGGTACTGCATAAAAATTCTCCCTTTTAGGAAAAAGTCCGTGCGGAAATCCATTCTGTCATCGGGCGAGAGCGAATCCCGAATTTTGCAGACCGAACGCAAATGCCGTATACCCAAGCTGCTATTATGGAAATCCAGCGGATGGCCAGCATTTTGCCGCTGAACTTGGTCCACAGAACCGTTTGCGAAACGTCCGTCCAAGGTATCATTATGTAGCGATTTAGATAAATTATGGTTTTTAGGACTCTCCATCCCGGAAAACGTCCTGGTGTGGGGTCAAATTGACGGAGTTCTGTATATGGACCCGAATTTTAAGAATCCGGAAACCTTCGATCCGACCAGGTTTTTACTGGAGGATGGAAAAACGTTTAATAAGGTATATTTCAAAACCAAAAAAAAGGAATTAAATCTTGTATAGACAACCGTAGAGAGGATGGTCGCGTTCTGCATCGGAAAGCGGCAGTGCGCAGGAGAGGGACTGGCTAGGGTACGTTAAAATCTACTAATTATCCAGTATAATCTAGCTACAGTAAACAACAAAAATATACGTTTATAACTTTTAGATGGAGCTTTTCCTGGTGCTCGCGGCACTTTTCCAGCGATTCAAAATCGAGCCGTCACCCGGGTGGAAGATTGATCTGACCGGAATTCCCGGAACTGTACGGCTGCCTAGCGAGAATCATTATAAGGTTACAAAGGTCTAAGTAGTTTCGAAATCGAGATAAAACTTTGACTAATAAATATTTATAAAGTATAGTCGCGCATCGTTAACTTTATAAAAGGACAGAAGAGCTTGACGTTGGAAAAAATCATTAAAAGGTTACGTAGGTCTAGATCGAATAGTCCTTTGCCTTGAATTTGAATTCTCAGGTATTTTAAAATTTGAAGTAATTTGATATATCTATAAAGTCTACCATAATAAAGTGCACTGTGTCAAGTACAGAGGAGCTTAGCGTTGTCGAAAAACAGCTGAACTCTTAATCGTGCCTACACTATGTCCTGATTCGGCTTTAGCAAGATTAGGGCCTCAAAAGTATGCCTTTTTGATCTCCTGACTTCCCCGCTCCTTTAAACAGCACATCCCCGCAAAAAGGGCCGGTCAGACGAACGCAGGAAAGCCCGCCGATAAACATCTACACGCGCCGGCTCGCCCCGCCGAATCGAGCAGGCGCCGTGACACGGATATCGACCAGCCTCGTCAATTTCCACACCGCACCAACGCATCCCTTAAACCGTTTTTCAGCCCTTAAAGTATAATTTGAAGCCCCTGAAAAGTCTAGGGGACTCTCCGGAACCAAATGTGCCCCCGGGGGCGACGTTGTTCGCCGACGTGGGCGTTTATAAACTATCCTGCCTCGCCGCCCCGGGGTTGCCCTCGATCCTTCACGTTGTTCTCTAGCTTTTGTGAACTCGTCAAACTGACGCGCTACTTTTTCTTTATTTTGATGCCCCTGATTTTTGTGACTCATCCGTTTTCCGTAATTTATCCGACGGCGAGATCTGGATACTTTTCAAGGCCGACAAATTTCTTGGCATGCCAATGGAGAATTTGGTGTTCCGGGTAAGCGAAAACTCGCGAGAAAAATCCATATCATACCAGCAAACGCATCGTAGTTTAAGGATTATACTATCTATTGCATCATCTTAATGAAAAACCTACTAAAAATAGATAAATTTTTAACATCGGGTTTGGAGGTAAAACAAAAAAAAACAGGAAAATTTAGCCATCATTCTATTGTTTTGCAAATGAAATCTAATACTGCATCGAGTTTGCATAATTTTCGCGCTATTAAAAAAGTTAATTCTTCAAAGTTTTCGTTTTTAAAACGTTTTAAAATTCTAACCTTATTTATAAACTCAAAATACAGTCAATTCAATGACAATAAATCACTCAGATTACCGCCTCAAAACCTTTGTTTTCCTCGGCAATAGCCTTACACCGCGTAGGCGACAAATCTATAAGTTGACTCGCTACGTCGCACCGTCCCTATTTACGTTGATGCTTCCCGCTTCAGTTAACACATTCTACGTCGCCGCAGTACTGCCAAAACCACGCTGATTCACCGCCCCGGCAATACGATCTTTAAAAAGAACCTCTGGCCAGCAATTCTCCCGGAAAAGAAATGGCCGTAGTAGACAAGAAATGTGTGTGTCTGTCGATTCGGGTATATTTGTCCGCCCCTCGGCTCCTGGGTCTCTAATGCTAGCCGGGGTCTGAGTCATACGCTCTCTGTTCGGTCAAAAACCCCGAAAGGGCCACCCCCTCTTCCACGCAGTGCCGAATTTTCAAGCAAGCTCTTAATTTATGTTTATTTTCACTCCTTTCATCCATAAAATTTCGACTCGTCACATAACGGAACAAACAAGAAAAAACAAAAATATCGCTAGTACGATTCTAAAACCGATTTCGAGCGTTGATCAGACTAATCAAGCACTATTAACAAATATCATTCTAAAAACAAAACAAAACAATTATTCCTAGTATACTGATAAAAATCGACCCAAGAATCTATGCAGATTCGATGTTGTCAAAAATATTGCCGACCATCTCGTCGTCTTCCAGTAATTGGTAGAATTTTGTGATCTAAAGCGACGTAATCGATTTAAAAATATATTTACCTTTTCCGTATCCGCTTCGCTTGGACTAACGGGGTGGAGGGCCCGGAATTCAACTTGCGCAGTTTCCACGGAGATTCTAAAAAAGAACTATAAGAAAATCAAGCTTTACAAACCCCTTGGAGCGCAGCGTATTCTCCACCTTATTCACATCAAGCGGCTGGCAAATAATTTCAAACTTTTTCTCGCCAAGGTCCTAAAATAGAGGTTAGAAAAAGCTGGCGTAATTTTACCTCCACAGCATTGACCTCTTCGCACTCGATTTCGATGCAAAGTTCTTCCATCTGAAACGAAAAGAATACTTTATAAAAACTAAGGCTTTACCTCTTCTTGCGTCCATTTCTTTTTCGCCTCATCTTCTGCGCCAACCAGTAGAACGCCCTTCTCCTCGAACCACGATTTGATGGCGCTCAAATCGGGGGCAACGCGGAAACCACCACCAATCTAAAAACGTTTTAGTTAGTTTTGAAAACATATCCTACCTTTTTCACATATTTATTGAGAGCCCCTTCAGCTGCCGCGCGCGTCGGCGCCTCCATGTGAACCACGAAAAACGTGCTAGAAGGCCCGATCACCGCCAAGTAGATCGTGACATCGGGTTGATCCTAAAACTCATTTTTTGCAAAACAAAAAGTCTCTCACCTTCAAACGTTGCAAAGTCCGCTTGTACGTGTCCATCCCGAGGCCTTGCTTCAAAAATTCGGCTTCCACGGCCGCCAAATTCCTGTTGAGCTTCGAATCGTAGCCTCCCTTCACGGCGCTTCGCATCTAAAATGGTTTTGACATAAATTTATGGAAAACAACCTTTTGGAGCAACAAATTGATGGCCCGGGCACGTTGTGTGTCGTTTTTCTCCTTTGTGGCACGAATGTTTTGCCAGTGCGAGTGGCCTAAACACTTATTACAAAGCCAAAAACATTAGGAAACTACCTTTCCTGAGCGTCGCGCTTGTGGTAAAGGCTCGCGAATCAAAGTTCGATGTTCTTGGCAGTGTAGAAGTTGAGCAAATGGCAAAACTGGCGGTCGTTCGGCATATTTGACGCCCGATGGCGGTTAGGGACATCTAAAAGGTACTTGTGATGATTTAATGGGCTTAAAAAAAATAGAAAAAATGCACTAGAATGATCGAAAAGTCATATAAAAGGAAAAAAGAAGCTAAATTTTAGGAAAATGGAAGCGCAGAGCTCGGTTTATTTCTGCAAACGCGAACGGCGGATCCAGTCTGCGAAAATAGTGCGAAGGGGAAGAGGGGCGAGATGGCGCGACGGACCCTGCCCCAGTTTGCCCTAAAAAGTGACCAATCCCGGCGCAGTTTCTCGAAAATCGCACTTTTTAGCGTTGTTGCGCCGTAAAATCGTGCTTTGACGATTTTTTAATTACCGATGGCCTGTCGATAATAAACAATTTTCCTAAACATTAAAATACTCTCTTACAAAGGGATGACAATTTTAAGGCAGCGTGCCCCCAGCCGAAAAACCGTCGAGAGAAAAAGCGCACGTTAGGGTCTTTTCGTCGTGAAAAGCGTTTTTAAAACAGTTTTTGAGCTCGCGTCGATTATGACAATTTTCTATCAACTATAATAAAAAAGTAGAGACGTCCGTCCGTCTGTGTGTGTGTCCGGTCCCGGATTCAACTCGAAGGGGAAAGGAGCTAGAGCTTAGGTCTCTTCGGATTCGGATAGAGCGTGGTCAGAAACCCCCAAACTGATAAAAAAATTATGAAAAAGTTTTAGTTTAAATTATTAAAATTAACTTTGAAAGTGGCGCCTTAATAAAACGAGTGGGGGCCCCTCTCCCGGGAGGCCACGCCCCCTTTCCCTTCGCCCCTCTTCCCCAGGCCCCTTCCCGCGCCCAAATAGCTTTTTAAGTTACTTTAATACTTTTAATACTTTTTAATTATGTTAATTCATTATTTAAATCATTTAAAGTAGCTAAAGCCATCAGGAAGGTATTTAGGTAGTTTTTGAAGGGGATTTCAGCCATGGGGGGTATCTGAAGCCATCAGGAAGGTATTTAGGTAGTTTTTGAAGGGGATTTCAGCCATGGGGGTATCTGAAGCCATCAGGAAGGTATTTAGGTAGTTTTTGAAGGGGATTTCAGCCATGGGGGGTATCTGAAGCCATCAGGAAGGTATTTAGGTAGTTTTTGAAGGGGATTTCAGCCATGGGGGGTATCTGAAGCCATCAGGAAAGTATTTAGGTAGTTTTTGAAGGGGATTTCAGCCATGGGGGGTATCTGAAGCCATCAGGAAGGTATTTAGGTAGTTTTTGAAGGGGATTTCAGCCATGCGGGGTATTGATGGAGGTGGGAAAGGATGTGGTGGAGTGGGACATGTAGGGTAGCCTGAAGGCCAGATGGTTGCAGTCGCGAAGCGACTGTAACCATCTGGTTTATATAAAGTCGAAACTGCTTTTTAGCGTTTTTAGCGCCTTTTAGCCACACTACAGGCTTGTTTTAACCAGTTTTTCATAATTCTCACTCTTTGTATATTCTAAAGTGCTCTAGACACCGTGTAGTTTATCAGAATTCTCCATTTTTGCAGAACCAAACTATTAAAAAAAAGTCGTGAAGAATTCGCGGACTACAACACACGTGAAGCTCAGAGCACGAGCATCCCAGGGGTAGAACCGCTTCAATTGTCCGCTGCTCCGGCTCAGGGTCAAGCGATCGCCCCGGCAAATTTTGTTGGGTCCATGTTTGCCGATGCACTCGAGGCTCTTGGCTACTTTCGGCCGGGGCTACCCCCTACCTCCGGCGCTTCAGCGCATTTTTTGTGCTGCTTATAGGCAACGTCAACCGGGTTTAACGCCCGGAGGAGTCTCCGGGTTTGTTTTCTATTTGCCCAAATGCCAATTTCGATTTTGGGTCGGTGGTTCGGGCAAAGGTGAAAACCGTTTGGGTGGCGAGTTGCTCTCTTGATCTTCTAATGTTTTTCCCTTTTAGAAATTAATAAGGCGCGATATATTATATATAAAACGAATAGATGATTTCATAAAGCGTAAAATTTGACCCCAGGAATAATGGAGGTCGAGAATTTACACAGCTGTGCTGACCGGAGGTTTTTGTCTGAACGTTTATCGGTTCGAGGTATTGGCCATATTTTAGGCAGCAGCACAATTTTTGTTCCGCAATTTTTTGGATGTAAAGGTAACTTGCCGCTAATTTGAAAGTAACAACCTAGAAGGCGTCGTTTTTTAACGAATTTGACTTTTTTAACATGGCTCACCTGACGTAGCTTTGACGTTTGACTGGCCTTCTCTTGGTCTTCATATTTTTTACTTTTTACGTTCTAAACAACTTTCTTCTAAAGCGTTCCAATATTCTGTTCTTACTGACAACGTAATTTTCAGATACCTTGTCTAATTAAACGGCCGGCACAACGGGGATGCGTTAAAATGCTACGAGATTTATTCCGAGCTTTCATTTTTTCACTGTTTATTTTGCAAATCGATGCGGCTAGGTGAGTTCCGACCCTGAAAACACGAAAAATTTCGTAATTTAGTTCCTATAGAAAAGTGCCGGTGGTGGTAGCTCCTCCGGTTTTACGGCTAGGTGCCACCAACCGAATTCTGGTGACGCCTTTGAGCGTTGAAGTTACGGGCGGGAATACGGTGGATATCCGGGTTCAGGTGGGTCGAAATATAGAGGAGAAATCGCTAAAATCGTGAATTCAGATTCACCAAAGATTAACCACTGGAAAAACGGTGTCCGAGGACAAGGTGGAAAGAGGGAAAAGTCGAGGTGAGGATCCTTTCTGACGAAAAAAATAATAACGTTCAGGACACCCACATCCGGTCGCTTTTAAAGTACACCCAGATGCTAAAGAAGCTGACGTCACGATAAATGTAAAGCAGATTTTAATTAAAGTCTAGCAAAAAGATAAAAATACGAAAATAACGATTCAGATATGCCAAACTACCAAGTTTTCAGATCCAAGGTCATGCCGAATATCAGATCAGACTCCTGGTTGCTCCGGACTTACGGACGATTCATATGAAAACCGATAAGGGCTTTTACAAACCCGGAGAAACTGGTAGGTTTCTATAAAAAAGTTACAAATACGATAGAAGTCATAAAATGTGGTTATTTTAGTCAATCTTCGAGCTGTTCCGATTACGACTGGAGGTCATATCTATACCGAGGATATCGAATACGCTTTGGTGGTAGGTCAATAGAGAGAGAAATACAATTTCCAATCGATACTCTACGTTTCTTTAATATGTCTTTCAAAAATGCTCAAAATAATAAAACGCTGTTTTTACGCATTAATATTCGTCAAAATTTTTTCCGATCCGCCCGATCATCATGTAAATCATTGAAATTGAATTTAACTTCTACAAATCAACTAATATACCTTTGAAAACCTAGATTTTAGAATCCCGACGGCTACGAACTAACGCGTCATATCACTGCTACGCCCGGTGTACCGCTACCCCTAACTTTCACCCTTCCGGAGCACCTATTTTTCGGCGAATGGAAAATCAAGGCGCGGCCGACGATGCAGGGCAGTCAGCCGCTTCTGAATTTTGCTGTCAGCTTCCAAGTGACCGATTACGGTATGATACGCTGGTTTTAAACCATTAATCGTGTTTAGTGCTCCCGCCATTCGTTTTGGACTTTGTCATCCTGGATGGCGATACACCAAATAAGACGCGACTTTCTGCAAGTGCACAGTGAGTTTTGAGCCGTATGAATAAAATAAGCTTAAAAATGGCTTTTTACTATTGTAAATCAATATTAAAATTTAGTTACTTCCATGGTGATCTCGTTTCCGGCGCCCTTGCCTTGAACTGCTACAACCCAGATCGAGCCACCGTCCTCGAGCCTGAATTTCACCGGCCGCTGGCTGTTGGCGAGGTTGGTGCTCCGGGCGATTTTTTGACTTTTTATACTGTATTTTTAATGTGTATCTTCTATCACTTCCTTCAAAATTTATCCGTACTTTATATTCCAAACGACCCCGTGACACATACACCCCGGAAAATACGCAAAAACGAGCAGCCTAAATCCCTCAGCGAAATCGAAAATTTCGCGGGAAACCACAAATTGCATAAGTGAGCAAAGAGCAATGGACCCGATGCAAGAGATGCACACACAAAATCTAAAGAATTAGCATAATCGAAAGATGGGACGTAAAGAAATTGAAGAATAGAGTAGGGGGTTGATGAAGGAATTTAAAATTATCAAATCTTCGAGTAGATTCCCGCCCGTTTCGGCGATTTCTCGGAAACGTTGCTCGTCAACCATTCTAAATTTATTAATTTGAATGAATATAATTTTATCTAGGTTCATTTTAAAAATGCGCTAAAATACTTACCGCAAAGTGCTAATCAAATTATACGGCAACCACATCATACAGTGAGCCGCGACAACGACAAGCGCGGTTAGAAATATCCTGAAATTGGGTTATATGAAGGGTTTTTGTTATAATAAAATTATAGAAACTAAAAAACTAGCTATAAGAAGCCAAAAACGTCCAAAAGTAGCGAGTTACGAGGTTTTATCGTGCTTTAAACCCGCTAGAAAGTAACCTAATTTTTATAAAGATTTTATCACATTATTCTCCTATTTTTCCACGACTAAAATAATATTTTCTTTTTTTTTGTTCGCATATCTCTTGCCAGCCATCGGGGTGACGAAATTGGTAACTGCCCCAAAAATACCCCGGTCTGCCGCCCCAGTGCCGGGCGAAGAGCCCCCCTCCCTCTTCAGCCCCCCACAGCCCCCTCTCCACCAGCACGGATGGCCGAGTGGTCTAAGGCGCCAGACTCAAGCATTGCTTCCCGCAAGTCCGCGGGTTCGGGTCTTCTGGTATCGTTATCGATGCGTGGGTTCGAATCCCACTTCGTGCAGACTTTTTGCTTTTTGCGTTTTGATTGGGAAGCGCGATAGGATAGTTTTTGTGGCTGGGGATCCGGGTTTTCACTATTTTTCTTATATATTTTTTACTGGAAACTCTTCCATTATAAAGAACGCACTCAATCAAGTGTTTTCATTTACAAGCTATCTCGAATTATCATTTATTACCTTTTACCATACAATTTAGTAGGTTTTTAAATTTCGTTATTCGATTGTTTAGTAAAATATGGTACTTTTTCCGGACAATAATGGCTTTCCCCCACCGTTTTTCAGTATGCTTTAGTAACATTTTTATCATTACGCTTAAGCAACTTTAGAAGGGTCCCCTCGATTCTCTTTTATTGTCTTTTTCCTAATCTTTATCATTGAAAATCCCCCTAGCTCACCTGGACCGCAATTGTCTGCGCCATATTGGCAGACTTCCCTCACGGGTGAACGCGGAGAAGCCCGTCAGGCGCACTGAAATTTCGAGGGTTTATCACGAATTATAGGGCAAGTGAATACCTCGTAGTTTCTTCTTTTTCTCCATTGTTCTGGGGCCCGGGTCAGAGGCCGTGGAGATTTTCTTTGGGGTGGTTGGGGCGGAAAGCCAGATGGATAGGGGCAGTTTTTGAGAATCCACTTTTTCTGGGTGAGCGCCATCGGGGAGGAGGCGTTCGTTTGAGATCGGTAATCTAATAGAAAAAACTGTAAACTTTAATTTAATTTTCTTTACCTTAAAGGAGCATAAGAAGCAATTTCCCGGCAAGACGCATTGGAGTGTGAGCTCTTCCCGGAGCGAATGATCTAAGTTTTGTATAAAAATAGCTGATTTTTCCGTGATACCTTTTTCGGGGTAAATGTATAGTGGAGGAGTCGGATGACGATCAGGAAATAGCAGACGAAAATTATTGAAAATGGGATCCAGAAGACGGCCGCTTGGTGGAGCATTTCGTACAGCATGGGCAGCCAGACGGGCCACCTGGCTGGTTGATCCTAAATAAGGATATTTGTTAATTCTCGCACTTTTCAGGTTTTATAATTTTTTAGACGTTGTACTCGCGAAATGTAATTTTTTTATATATCTGGAAGCAAATTTTCGACTCGAAAGGTTTTAAATATTTGAAATGGAATATTAAAATTACGTTTCAGAACGGTTTTTTTTGCATTTAGAACTTTTCAATATTGATTTTCGACGTTTTGCTACTTTGTTTAATAGCCGTTTTTCGGTATCCCAGAGCATTAATAGACATTTTCATAGGTAGCTACGATTCTTAAGAATTTTCTTGCACCCACCACCGCACTTATTACATGTGTGACCTTCCGCTTACTATCGTATTAGTTTCGCCTCTCGCTAATCCTGAGACCCCCACAGAAAAACCCCGGAGACCCAAGGACTTCTAAACGTGTGTGGCCCACTTTATCTTGTGACTACGGTAGCCGTGTCCCGAAACAATAGCTGGGGTGACTAACTCGATCTGGCCAACCGCAACTAATTGCCCTCCCATCCGCACACGTGAATTGTAGACGTAACTCGGAATTTTGGGTGGGGATCAAACAGCTTAAGTTTGAGGGTCAGGGATTACGGTAGAGCTTCAGAAGTACGCATTTGGGTAAAAGTTGCTATCAATCTTTGGCAGGCCGGTAAAAAACGTTTTAATTGGCCTTCGGGAGCACCAGATGTTACTCAATTCAAAGATCTGATGATACGTTAACGGATTTTGATTTTGAGTACACGATAGAGCTTGAGAAAGCACACATGTGGTGAAAAGTTACTTAAAATTTTTGGAGGCTAGAAAAAGTGCTAATCGCTTGATTTGATTGATCTTTGAGCGCAGAAATAACTTAATTTGAAGATGTGATCATAATATCTTCGATCTATTTTTTTTTTGGAAAGGTACAGTAGCCTGCAAAAAACCTAATGTTTCAACTTATTTTCAGAAAGTAAAAGTACATTTTGCACCCAAAAAAAACGTAAAAAGCTTTTTATGTAAAGAGCTTACCAAAAACGACACGCACTGGTTGAACTCGGGCGTCACCGGGTATATGTCCCACACAAAAAGCTGCGGCAGCGCGCAGATGATCGCCAGCGCCCACGCGCCGCTGATCAGACTCTGCACGCGGCGACGGGATGTTGCTCCTAAATGGACTGGTTTTCTTTTCCCATGAATCTAGGTATTTTTACGTTGATTTTTTATTTTAAACTACGAATTTTAGATTTTTTTGCAGGGTCCCTGCAAACACGACCAGTCAGGGGCCCCCAAAAATTGTAGGCGAAGCCGAAAATAGGGGAAAATAGGGCCCTTTCAAAGCTGTGAAGTCCTAGGTTGGGAGTGGAAGAAGTAAACAGCGGTTGCAATTTGCCGAGGTCGGCTTTTGTTCATTGGTGATTTCCTTCCGGGTCCAATGGAGAGCCAAATTTTTCCTTGAACCTGGCAATTTTTGGCTACAAGGCGAGTTCAAAAATTACTCTATGGGACTCAATGATGTAATTAAAGATGTTAGGAGTTCAAAAGTTGGATAAAAATTAGTTTCCGAGCAAACCCCTTGAACTTTTTTGTATCCTTTTCATTTCCCAAAATGCGGTTCCTGATTTCTAACAGTCCAAAAAATCAGAAGATAAAACACCGATTTGCCGCGTATTTCGCGCCCGAAATCCGATTTTCCGCGTAGATTCGGTTAGACGACGTTCGCGTCACTAGGCGCAATCGTCATGAGGTACAGAAGATAATGCCAAATTTTGCGCAAATTCCAATCTTTCTGACCCCAAGAAACCCACCCTGCACATGGCTAGTGTAGACGACCTTCAACCGGTCCAGCCCGATTGCCACGATCACGTTCGAGTTTGCGTAAAAGCCGAGGGCCGAGATGAACATGTAGAACTTGCAGCTGTAGACGCCGAAACGCCAGTCAATGTTGAGGATCCATATTATCTAAAAATGACGGTTTAACGAGTTTTTGACGATTTTAAAGGTGTGGGGAAGCCCGAGCATCTATGGATTTTTGTGGCTTCCCTGTTTCTTGAGACTCTATTTGAGACCCTACTCTTGAGACTGTATGTTTCTTAGGCTCTTGATTCCCTAAGGATTTTGCCGCATCCGCGGCACGCAACGCACGAGGCGTGAAAGAGTTTTAGTTGATACGCAAGGTAATTTTTGGTACGTGCGCTACGTGTCGCGGGTGCGTAAAATCTAAAAGCAGCCCCTTGCTCGCCAGTGCCTTGAAAATTTCCAAAAGTTGTTTACTTTCCGCTTACTTCCACGCGACCGATTAACCCCCACCTCTCGTGACTTTTTCAGAAATTGAAAAGCTGCCTTTTTGCGCGTTTTTTTGTGAGACTTAATTTCCATAATCGGCGGCTTAACCGCGCTTAAGGGCGGCCTGGACCAAAAATTACATCATCAGCGCGCTCGAATTTTCAAAAAAGTGCCCTTCGGATCTTATTAAACGTTTTGCAAGCGAGTGTACCTCTTCCTAGGGAATCCCCCAAAACACCGAAGGTCTGTTTATATTAGCCCAATTTTTGCGGGGTCCGAGGAAGTTCATATTTGGGTCGTAGGGAAGTGCAAAATGGGCAGAAAAAGAGCATGAAAAGGTTCCAAGTTTGAAGTTGGAAAAACCGGAGCTCTCGGGTCTAATATGGGCGAGCTAGATCTCAGAAATCAGCTAGAAATTCAACGTGGATTTTATATAAAAATTTTTTTTTTGGGGAGAAAAAAAGAGGGGGGGTTTTTTTGGGGGGGGGGGGGGGGGGGGGGGGGGGGGGGGGGGTTTTTTTTTTTTTTTTTTTCCCCCCCCCGCCGTGTTTTTTTTTGTGGGTGGTGGGGGGTGTGGGTGGGGAAAGGGGGGGGGGGGGGGGGTTCCCCCCCCCGGCGGGTGGTGGTTTTTTTGGTGGGGGGGGGGGGGGGGTTTAAGGCTAGTTCCACCAATTTTCGAATCCACAGCGTTTACAGTCGTCCGTGGCCCTTCAAAACCCACTTTTCCAATGCCATGAGCCAGGATGATAAAGTCAGTGATGCAGAGGTTGAGCTTGAAGAGGGTGAAAGACGTCAAGTGGTAGGGTCCCGCGAGGAAGTTTGTCCTGGCTGTGGGGGCTCGAAATCTGAACATAAAATCTAATATCGATTTTAAATACGTCTTTATATTTTTTAATGCTCTACGACTTGAATAATTGTAGATATTAATTTATTTTGTCATTTTGTTTTAATTCCCGCAGCTGGGCCCAAAAAAAACCCGAAAAATGTCATCTTAAAAGTTCAATGATATTTTGAGGGTCCTCTTTCTACTGAAATACTTTTATAAAATCTAAGACCATCATTTCACCAATTTTCCCATGAATTCTCCCTGCCTGCGTCAAAATTTTGTCGAAAGAGTAAGTCAAAAGTGAATGTACGAAAGCGTATGTACTAAAAACTAGAGCTCCTCCAAAGAACGCCTAAGAACGTCTACAGATGTGGAAAGTTATATTTCGGCGCAATTCTACGACCGTATTTTTCTTGGAATATCTTAAACTTGCAAACCCTGAATACCAAAAGTTCCCCCAGCCCCTAGCAGCCCCCAATTTTCGGCTGATCCCCGTTTTTGTCCAAAGTTTTCAAGGTGCGTGCGCCCGCGCTCCACTCTCAAATCCCACTAGAAGCACCAAACCACGGGTTTGCCCGAATTTTTGGAGGCCCGAAAAACAAAACGAAAATGACAAGACACTGATCCGCTCCAACAAAATTTCCGCCTGCGCGCATTTAATCACGCGCTAATCCGCGCCGCATTCATTACCCTCCACCCTAAGCGTGTAAACAGGATTTTAGCGGAATTCAAGTACCGATCATGAATACGCTTTAGAAAAAACGATGTTGTGAGCCGCGGGCCCAATTTTCGTGTATAATCCCGATAAATTGGCAACTCTATTACGAATTTTTTTGGGGTATTTCTTAGAAATTTTTTAGTATATTTCGTCAGATTTTGGTTGTGGAACTTTGTGCCCATGGAATCGGGTGTGTCACCAAGAGGCTGGGGGGTAATTTCGAAGTTGCACTAGCGATTTTTTAATTGGCGAGGCTGGAAAGGCGTGCGTAAGAAAGGAAGAAGCGCAACAAAAAAAATAGGAAGAATTGCGGGGTCTGGGTAGGTTTTTGCTGTAAATTGGCGAGTATAAAGAACCAGGAGGGCATGTTTTTGGCGGAGAACCTTCGAAAGAGAGTTTTTGCATATGGAACCGGCTCAAAGAGATTATTGAGGAAATTTCACAGCGAACATTGCTAAAAAACTAAACCCTTTTTCCCTAGTTTTTTTTAATCTGGCCAATCGATTTTTCTAGTTTTTTTTAGACACAGACTAACTAAAAATTTTTCTAACTTTCTTGGGCTTACCTCGATGATTTTAACAGTTGAATGAAGACCACAGAATTTAAAGCGATCGCTGCTGTGACGATAATTGAAAGTGAGACAATTTCCACATTGTCGAGGGGTAGACGCAACGGCACTAACTGCTCTGAAGCGTTGCTAGAATTCTCGGCGGGCATCGCCCTGAAAAACGGCAGGTTTAACGATGATTCTAACAAAAAAGGGAGAAAACGAGTGAGCGAGAGGAAGAGAGAGAGAAAACTGAGAAAAAAACGAAGAAAAAAATCACATCCAAACTATATACCTACTAGCAAATAAAATCAAATTATGAAAACTTTATCCAAGCTGGTGGCACAATGTCCATTTCTTGCCGCGAAGATACGGTACCCACATGATTTTTGAATTGCCGTAATTAAATCATCCGGCCAAATCCCTAGAGACGAAAGGACTGATTTTTGGCAACATATGACTTCCATTTGTCGAATTAGCTATTGTTGAATAGGAAAATATACCTCCCGTCATAGCCAAGTTCATCAAACAGCGCCCAGGACGGCTGGTAATTCCCAAAAATCAGAGCACTACCCGAAATAACCAAACTAACTGATAAACGGAAGTACCATGAAGGAGTCGAGGAGGAAGAGGAAGCAAGGATCCGGACACAAATACGAAATTCCCCGAATTCAGAAGCCTGCTACTATGTATTGCGGCATTCGCTCATGATGATGCTCGATTATTCTTGTGAATAGCGGGAACGGCTCTGTTTTTGACAGGCGTTCTTTTCCCTTATTTTTCGGCTCTTTTGAGTCAGCCCCGATGTACCGGGAAAGAGCCGGGAAAGGCGACAAATAAGAATGGAGCACGGAAATTTGAGCCCGAGGTGGCTAGACACATTTTTATATTCCGATGTTTCCTAATTACAACGGTGCTGAACTTTCTCACGGGGGTCGGACCGCTCATCAAGGAAATCAGGGGGAAAATTGAGGTGGAAGGCCGGAGATCGAATTGTCTGAATGGGAAGGAGAAACAAAGCAAAAGCAAATTCTTAGAGGTTTGGTAGCTGTCACCACGCCTTGAAAAATTAACACGAGGAAAGTAGCGGGTCTACCCAGTTTTTAAAGGGACCGACAAGGCTGATCTTTGATCTTTGTTGTCCAACGCAACGCAACGCGTCCGGTTACAAAGTCGGGAAAGGGTCGTAATATACAATACGCAATGAAAAGAATTTTCACGCGTTACGTGTCGCGGATGCGGGAGATTCGAAAAGCAAGGAAATCCCGGCTCACGTCGAGCGCCCGCGACGCGCAACGCGCTTGACTGTTCGTTGCGCAAGGGACCGCGCGTGTTGGATGTCGGGGGCACTATAAATTCTATAGAAATCGAAATTAACAAAACCAAGAACCCTGCTGTACGCTTCTCGTAAAAATTGTAGAGCAGGCTATAATATAGCCGACACCATCCCCTTAATCCCATTATGGAATTCCGGAATGAATTCAGTACACCCGGCGTCCGGAAGCCCATGCTGTTCTGGAGCGGCATTCTGAACGGCAGTTGTGTGGGGTCTGTTTTTGTCCTATCCACACACTCGCCAATATAATAGGGTCGGGCCGCAGGAGGGGGAGGGGAATTCGGTTAGCTATCGCAATTTCAAGATCCGCCCGTGCCCGGCTGAGGCCTAGTGAAATCTTTTACGTGTAGTTCGGGGTTGTATTTGCTTGAACCAGGAAGGTAGGAACATTCAAGCATTGGCAAGAAGCTTTTAAAGCGGCTCTGGCAGCACACCGATTATGGCATTTTGGGGACCGGGCAGAGACGCAGAGTTCTGTCTACATCTCTCCTCGGGGCGCGCTCTTTCTCTCCCTGCCGCGACGCACCCGATCGGAGCTTCCACGAGTCGGGAAAAGGGGCTTGCTGCCAGACGCCCTTAAGCTAAAAAATCGGCTGAGTTTGGATTTCTGAAGCGGGATTTAGGGATACACAGGAAGCCAGCAACGCGAGAAAAGTTTTGAACAATAATCGCGAGTCGTTTGATAGTTTTAGCGGTACTTTGAAACAACTATATCGAAATTGGGATAAATAACAGACCTCAATTACCGTACCAACTTAAGCCCCACAAAAATGAGCACGAGACCACCCACAACTTTTCCTCACAGACATATCCCACGAACACGCGGGAAAATTAGCCGACTTCATGCTCGAAAAGCAGAAAAAACGCCAAGTTTCTCAAGAGAAAAATGGTAAAATCTAAGACCAGCTGTTCTAAATTCGCGTAGTCTACTAAGGCCAGCTCTCGCCCCGTCTGGCCATCAAAATTTTGAACTCAGGGAACTCATCGTTTGTGTCAGTTCGTGCGTAATAATACGTTATAGTAACAGAACCGGTACGAAATAAGCGGGAAAGAGGATTAGAAACGGCATAGCTCGTCTAATCTGGTAGAGAGCTATAAAAAGCAAGACGCGCATTATGGTTTTCTAGAGCACATTCAAAGATCTCTAAAATGTACACTACACTACCATTTTTAAACCCATTGAAGGCAAAAATATACATAATTTTTAACGTTCTCAAGGCGAAGTAAGCCTTAACTGTAGTGACAAATTATGAAAAACCCCTAGAGCAGGCAAGAACCAAAATTTTCATTACTGCATCCGGATACGTTTTAAAAAGCATCAGATTCAACGGGCACAATGAAGCCAAAATATTCATAATTTCGGCATCTTGGATTAAAATAGGTTTTTCTAAATTTTTAATTTGGATTAGCCGGTAGTTCTGACCGCCAATTCTTTCAACGCGTAGTAAATTGGGAACACATTTCGCGTGTCAGTTTTTTACAGCTTACCATGTGGGCAGCTGGGAAAATATTATTGCCCCAACTAGGTCCCCACAATGTCGAAAATTTTGGCAAAACGTGAGTCTGGGAAAATCACAGAAAATCTATGCTACACATTTGCAACACCAAAATTACCGTAGTTTCAGAAAAATGCGCCCAGATCTAGCCGCTAAAAATTTGGCAAACGAGCACTGGATTCCCAGAGGGGATGGCGAATTAAAATTGGCCTTCAGCTCGAGGGGGATAAAAAAAAGCGGAAAGATGGAGCACAGAAGAAAAATGGCTGCAGATATTTCGGCGTGTTCGCAACACACGCAACGTCGGCAATTAGCCCCCCAGGTTGGGGGAAGAGGAGAAGAGCGTGACGTTGAGAGGGAGGGACAGCCAGATGAGACTGAGGCCCTGTTATTAAGAAAATCGAGCATGGAATATGAGACAAAAGAGCACCGGCCAAAAATTGGCGAGCAAGATGCGATTAGGTGTAGAAGTCAGAGAGTAAGTGTGGACAAGAATTGAGCAATTTTTGGCGGCTTAAAAATCGGCTTCAAGCGGCATCTAAAGCTTGAATATGGATTTTATTAAACCCGCGACACGCGACGTGCATGCCCACAGTTTCATAGCGTCACCAAATTAAATTAATTCTAGAAGTCATTAAATTTTTTTTTTTTTTTGGGTGAAAATTTTTGCTTTTAAAAAGTTTTTGGGGAGAGCAAACCTTTTGGTGACGTTCATGCGGCACGTTCGCGTTGCGTGCTGCGGTCGCAACAAAACCCACGGGGATCGAGGTCAGATTACCTTGTCCCGTGTGCCCCGCGACACGCAACGCGTCTGAGTTGCCGTGTTAACGATCTTAATACATTACGCTTTAAGGCGCTGCTGCGTTGCGGGTCGCGGGTGCGGCAGAAATCTCTTTTACCAAACCTTGCACAAAACACATTGCAAAATCCTAATGCAAAAACCCTTTATTATTTGGACGTCCCCGCCCCGACGCAAAATGTTAAATTATTAAAACTACCAGCCGCTTCCAGCGGCTTCGCCGCTGCAAGGGGCTGGACTTCGGGCTACTCCCTGCGCGCCCTCCCCTGGCCGAAACGCGCGCGACCTGGCTCAGTATGTCCGAAATCGGGCAAACCTCCGTCCCCTTGCTTTTACTAAGGAAAAAACTTTCAAAGTTAATTTTAATAATTTAAATTAAAACTTTTTTATAATTTTTTTATCAGTTTGGGGGTTTCTGACCATGCTCTATCCGAATCCGAAGAGAGCTAAGCTCTAGCTCCTTTCCCCTTCGAGTTGAATCTGGGACATGACGCACAGACAGACAGACGGACAGACACCTCAAGAAAATTATTATAGTAGATAATGTATAGGATGCCCAGACAATAGGTTAAATCCGCCACCCCGGTTTTTTGTATACGAAAAGCACATTCTTGGAAGGGGCTTCCCCTAGTCGAGGGGCTAAATGCGGGGCCGGGGAGAAGAGCTCGGGGCTCTGAGATAAACAAGAATGATCATACTCTCGGGTTAATGCATCCGGAAAACGCATGAGCGGCCCTTAGCAACATGTCAGAGGCAGATGAAGCGCATGAAAAATCAGTGGTGTTGTTATGCGGGGTGCATGCATTAATAGGGCAACTATATTGAAATCGAGAGGGAGAGAAAAAGAAAGAGAAAGAGAAAGAGAGAGAGAGAGAGAGAGAGAGAGAGAGAGAGAGAGAGAGAGAGAGAGAGAGAGCGAGCGAGCGAGGGAGATGCAGTGAAATAGAGAGTGAGAGGGGGAGGGAGAGAGAAAGCCAGAGAGAGGAGAGAGGAAGAAATAGCGAGCTAGAGAAACAGATAAATCCTCTAATATGATAGTACCTGCAACAATATCAAGTTTTTCTCCCCAACCTACACTACCCCCAAGAGGAAGTCATTGAATACCAAATGAGCCCTCCTAGCAACAAGTCCCACCCACCAATCGCCAATTAATATTAAGCAATGAGAAGCTGGAGCCCGAACCTGGACTCTAAAAAGCGACGTCTCGCTCGAGCAAGAAACCAAACCTGACGCGAATTGCACTTACTTTCGCCGTTGAGTCGCACTCTTTTCATTCCCTGGGAACCCGGTCAGCTCTTTCAAAAAGGGGCGTGGCCTGGGGCACCTACGTCCGGGCCCAATGTTTCGAGTATTGGGACGGAATTTCTGGCTAATCCGGGTCGTGATAGGGGAGGGTTCGGTGCAATTGTATCCCCGGGCTTACGGTGGGTGAGGCGAAATGTGTCGGCTTCAATAGCGTCACATCGTTTCCGGTTCAAAATGTGGTTAGTCAGCGGGGGCCTTTGTGCTTCGAATATCGTGGCTGATGAGTGTGTCACTTTTTGGACTTGGAAGATCCGAGGCCTCCTGTCAATGTCTAGACGAGTTCTATGACTGGGTGGCATTGAAATTTGACAATGAATGGGAAATTGAATGAAAACAATGGAAATTTAAATCGATGAAAAGTGTGATTTCATATGTAAATTCAAAAACTTTAGGCTTTGACGGGGCTTTGGCTTGGCGTTCGCGAATACTCGGCTTGGAATTGGCTTCGTCTGAGGCCTGGGGTTAGGCAGGGGCATATGCATAGGCTTCGATTTGGGCTTCGCCTTAGGGTTCGACGTGGCTTAGACTTGGGCTTACAATTAGACTAAGGTTTGGGCTTAGGCTTGACTTACCCATAGATTTGTCTTGTCTTAGTTGCCTTGGCGTGGCTTACGCTTGGCATAGGTCTAAGTTTCGGCTTCGAAACCGAATATTATAAGCCAAACTGAATAATTCATTAACAGTTTGCTATATTCTTTTTATTGCGAAGTCCAAGTCAAATTGCAAAGATCTGCCGGAAGTGATATTTGACTCGACAGGTGGATTTGTCTCCCGATCCTGACTAAAACCCAAAGATGCAGTACCTTATTGTTGGGGATCACAAATCGTTCTGGACGTGAGTTCCGCACGACTTCAGCGAACACTTGAATCGCGCAGGTGCATCAGCTGCACAGGTACATCTGGTTTGCAGGTACGAAATGCACCCCCGAACACCTGGCAACAACTGGCAACCCGAGCCTGGCCTTCAACAAAAAAAAAAAACGCAACCCTCGATTCAAATAAGGGCCCAAATTTCAGCGTCAAAAAGCAGGAACAGAGTAGTGGGAAGGAATCTGGGCTTGAACTTTCGCTGAATTCTTCTCTTTTTGTTCCATCCAGGGAAAATTAGATCAAATGGCAACTTCTCGGAACCGCGTGAAACATCCTCGGAGAGAGGAGTGAGAGAGAGAGAGAGAGAGAGAGAGAGAGAGCGAGAGCGAGAGGGGCAAAGAGAGGGCGGAATTGAATACATTTGGGGAACCAAACGAGTCGAGGAGATGTCGCGAACCTAGACGATTTCCTAAAAAGTGGCCCGGGGCGGCCGTGAAAATCTAGAAAACAATTCTGAGTAGCGAATTTGGTGATCGGAACATTGAATTAGATCTTGTCCTCCGGGGACTGACGACTGTCCGACTATTGACGATGAAATTAGTGGGGTAAATATTGTTTGAAGTGTCAATTGAGAACTGGGTTTGAATTTCGAGCCAGAAGAAATCAGAAAATTTAGAGAAATGACCTAGAAAATCAACGATAAAAAATCTGGGAAGCTACACTAGTATTAAAGTGACTTATAAATGAAATTGATCAGCTAAAAATCGGTTATCTCACAATAAAAAGACGCTTAAAGGTGTTTTAAAGGTGCAACCCTCAAGTGTGAAAATGACGCTCTAACGACGCGCAACAAATCCGGTAAACTGGCTTCTACGGCCCTTTAAAAGCACCCCAAAAGCCGAGTGAAACAAAGATCCTTTCAAAACGATTTCACAAAGGTCTGTGGCGAAAAACGTGCAGCAACTACAGTGATTACACCTCCTATTCAACCGGCTTTCAACTCCCCGGGGGCTTGGGCGTCACAACTTTTGAAAAACCCCCTATTGAACTTGGTGAAAAACGCCTGGCTAATGATCGATGTCACTGTTCTACTGTTAAATTAAAGGCAAGGTGATCCGGTGAGAAAGTTGACTGTATGTGCCTGAGATTGTGAACCAAGATAAGGGCGAACAATCAATAACCGGGGGAAGTTCTCAGGAAAATTTGGGCTGAAGGCGGATTTTTTAGCCTAAAATCTAGCGGGAAAACCTTGAGAATTAATGGAAGTCTGGTCATACGACATGGCAAGCTAGCAGAGGTTTTTGTGAACTTTGGCAACCCGATGCTTTAGTCAAGTGATCCCACTGTTTATTTTTAAATTTAGGTAACCTTCTTTAGCATGAAAATCTTTGTCCTAGTGGCAAGCTATCAGAGGGTCTTCAGGAAAACGAGCAGTCTTGACTTGAGCATTCGCTTAGCCTTTTTCCCAAATTCTAAAATCCTTTAGCGTCGGACTCCGAGGAAAATCAGATTTTCAAAGAATTTTGAAGCATTTTGTTCCGCAATTTCTAAAATTTTCAGTCAATTATATTTAGTAGAAACGAGCTATCCAGATTTTTACAGGCATCCTAACGTTTTCTCAACCCTTAATTCCTGCTGCACCTTCTCTAAACACCCTGATCAAAACCCAAAATGTCATCCGCGGCTGGGTCGAAAACAAACATTAGAATCCGGGTGAACGGCCAGCTGGCAACGCGGTTTCCCAATGGCCAGCAGAAATTGCGCTTTTTGCTCCTCTCGTGTCCAATGTTTTCTTCTTCTTCTGCTTCAGAGGGGTTCGAAATCCATGGAATGCAATTCAATCAAAAGCGCGCCATTCTAATTCAGATCTGACATTTTGGAAAAATCAGCACGGGTGCAGGGATGTAATTATTTAGGCGCTTCCAGAATGACCAAATAAAGCGAGCAACCAGATCATTAAAATAAGGGTTCAGCGGGGGGTGGAGAGAAACTATTTTGCGCTTTTAAAAGGGATAGATTATGGGGTATGGCTTAATTATATGCTTGGAACGCTGTATTTTTAGGATAAACGCTACAAAAGGCGTAGGGTTCAGTGTAAAATTTTCAAGCCCCAGTTTATCTCAAGGTTTCGGTAGCTAAATTAGAACAATTTATTTCAGTAAAAACTCATAGCCACTAAAATCATTATGAAAATGAAGTTTGATCTTTTTAAAACCGATAGAAGAGGGAATTGCGTTTTTGATTGGTTTCAAGCCACAGGGTTTCAGCTTTAACTTTTATTAATTTAATGCTATTCACCGGCGTTCGGGTTAAAAAGTCGATAGTTAAATAAGAATACTTTACTGTATCAGAAAAAGCCATTATCGTACTCCAAATTGTCACAAAAATAGATTTTCATATTTTTGAAAACCAATTCCATGAAAGAATTGTGTTTTGGGCGATTCAAATTAACGTATTCTAGGTTCTACGACTTCCGCGCGTACTTAAAGCCTTCCGGAAATTAGGCAAAGCCAAAATCGACTTCCCAACCCCAAACACAAATAGAGAAAAATAAAAGCTATGGTGTAGTCCGGTCGTCTGAATAACCCTGTTTTCAACCGTTTCCTCAAGGGCTAGCCGGTGAATTAGCTTCAGCACATCCTTTTCCGCAGGGAAATTGCCCCCATCAGCCGCACAACAAAAACAATGCATAAAATTGGGGTGCAAAGATGAACGTAGAGTAGGTAGTTGTGTTTTTTGCCGACTAATGACGATTGAAAATATGATTTTATCGGTATTTTTAACTTTAAAATAACTTTCTGGACTTCCGAAATAAGATTCGACAGATTCAGGTAAATATAAACACGCATTGATGATGAATATAGCTTGCTCTATCGTCAATCCATCGAAAGAATGAAGGTTTTTGGTATGATTTTCGACTAATCTTCGAATAATTCGTATAAATCACGACCTTGATCGTGCTCATTTCCAGCGGTTCAACGCTAAAAAGCCGCTCTCTCTTAAGTGGCCACACATTCTTGACATGTTTTCGGAACCTTTTTCCTCGTTGACCCTGTGAATGTTGCCAAAAACCAGACCGAAGGCCAGGCCACTTGAAGTGCCTAGAACGTGTTTTTCCCCAAGGAAACGTCTCACGAGATCCAATTTTTCAGCTGCAAAATCGAGCTCATGACAGGGAGTACGAGACGGAACAAATATAAACATGTGTAGAGGCTCTGGGGGGCCAGATGGGATGATTTAATAACGAAGGGTCGAAGGAGAATACGGGATTTAAAGGGTACGGTACATGTTCTAATGAAGTTACGTGGGCGGGCAAATAATATCGATTAAGAGAAAATGGAAACACCCCCGTAACAGTTCTAGTTCTTATTAAACCTTTCAAAACTGGTAATTTTTCGTATTTTGAGGTATGTCCATGTTTGTCTTGGCTTGCGCGACGCTTGATGGTTTTAAGGTATCTCAAAAGACATGTAGAATTCAAAAAAAATTTATTCCAAATATTACTACCCGCAAATTCCCAGCACAATCGACAGTGATATGCACGCAAAAAAACACCAAAAATACATAAACTGTCCATAATTTGTTTATTGCGCAAACCCGTAGAGGAATGGATTGATGAGCACGATGAGCAGTTGCATGTCCTTGAAGATGTTCGCGTTCTCGTTGAGGGCTCTAGAAAATGGCGGTGTCAATAGTACGCCCGTACTCTTAAATGTCTATATTCTTCTTAGCCTTTCAGGCCCTTTAATCGTCTAGTTTGGCCAAGAAAAAGAGGAAGAAATCTTTGTAATGGGCCGCATTGAACGGAACCTAATTACGTGAATGTTGCGTTGAAAGGACAAAAAGAGAGAATGGCTCGGATGGCTAGGGCGTAAGTGGTTGGGAAAAGGAGAGGAAGCTTTGGAGAAGGCTGAAAAAGATGTGTCATCATTCGTAGTACATTATAGCGACCTATAGGAGCTTAATGATCGAGAAAAAGTGAATTACTTATTAAGACAGATTCAAATACCTTTAGATGCTGTTTAAAAGCTCCCTAAACTCCAAATTTGCATCTGAAACTTACTGGTACATATCGTCGCTAACGTATTTCATAAGCGCCAGGGTATTGTAAGGTAACCAGAACACGAAATGGGCGATGACGACCAGAAGTGTCGTACGGAAGACCTCAAAAGATGATTTACGTTGGTTTCTCGATATCTCTCTTTATCTTCCTCTTTCCCTCTCTCTCTCTCTCTCTCTTTCATCTCGCTTCTTTCAATACCTCTCTCCCTCTTCTCTCTCTTTCTCTCTCTCTCTCTCTCTCTCTCTCTCTCTCTCTCTCTCTCTCTCTCTCTCCCCTCTCTCACCTTGCTCCTCAATTGCCTCCTCCAAGCTGGTGCCTTCGTTCCCGATGACTCCGATACCTTGGACACCTTCTTAAGCGGAGGGGTGGTATCGTCTAAATTATCCCGTGTTTTCGAATAGACTAATAGAGCTACCTCTAGCATAGATATTATCCATACTCCTGCCATTTCTTTGGAAATATCTGGCAAACGGTAGTGAGCTTCCAAGACGAGAATTGGGCCTCAAGTTCGGGCTCGGCCCCCGGTCGGAGAATCGATCGAATGAGCGGCGGATTGTTGAGATCTAGAAAGGGAGAGATAAATAATGTATTAGTCGCAAAACAACATAATTACGAATTACAACTTATGGCATTCTCGGGGTTATACATTATAATGTAACGTAACGTAACGTAAGATCAAATCCTAACATTTGTTTTTAGACGAATTTTGAATATATACAACTTTACAATTTAACGGTATTAGCTTAAGCTTTTTTGTTAGGAATTCTCTGCAAGCAATTCCTATTTTTACATTTTAAAACAAAAAAATATAGACCTCGGCCTTGCCATGCGATAACGAGCGTGTCGCAATAATCTTTACCCGTGCTAGGCAGTGCGGTTCGACGGATACCGTAGTCGACGCTGTTTCGAATTCTAAAACGGAAATATTACAAAATTGTTTTAAGCAAGAACCACACTACTATACGAGTTTTATATTACTACTTACGGTGTAGTGACAGTGACTGTTCCATACCACCGGATAGTCCATTTGACGTTGGTTCAGGCCGAATTATGCCGTTCTAAAAAAGGGGAAAATGGACTTAATTATACCTTAAAAACCTTTTCTGGAATTTTAACTTGCAGTAAAAATCAGGTGTTTTAAGAATATTATAAAAAATTTTTGTGAATAATGCGCCATTTCATGCCGTAATCAATCCTATTTCACGACCCACTTACCGTATGACATGGGCGATTCCTCGAATATTTCACCAGCCGTAGCGCAATGATAAAATAGCAAGTAATCAATACAAATAGTGGACCCCAGAAAACAAGGACCTAAAATACATCAATTAGCGTAACTCGCCCAAAAACCCACCAAGTGATAGATATTGTAGATGACCTGGGCCTCATTCCCATACAGTACACCGTAGTCGGCTTCTGTGGCTTGTTTCGAATCGATCATGGCTCTAAAACAAGCGCATAAACCTCAGTTATTGAGCAGTAGGCTTACTGTTTAATGGTCCAGATCGTTGTACATTGGTACCAGTCGGTATACGCTTCTACCGTAGTCCAAAAGAACATTTGGGGGATGGCCCAGATTATGGAGAGGACCCAGGCTCCGGAGAGTAGCCAGTGGACGACGCTTCCCTAAAAATTAAGGAGGTGAATTTGTTGTAATGGGTTAAGGATTGTCTATTGATCCGCTGAATCGGTGCTTAACCTTAGCTTAGTAAGGTATCTCTATTAATGGCAAGAGTCTATGTATTACTGTAGTGGATTTCCGTTACTTTTATAGCCTATGTCGCAAAATAAAGCTTCCGGGGACCCCCGGGTTTTGAAAAGAGAAAAAATTTGCTTATATTTTAAAATTAAAGGATATATCGCAACTCGCATCTATTTTATGTACAGTTTATGGCTATATTTTGTCCATTAAAGACTGCTAGAACTCAGGAACGCACACTGTCACCCCGAGGGTGCGCCCCCCAAGAACGCGCAGAGGGCGGCGTCATTAGTAGCGCCCCGTACTAGGCAAAGGCCCTCTGACTCCCTTCCCCACTAGGCCCTTTGGTATAGTGGCTAGTGCGTCTCACCGTCGAGCGAAACATCGCGGGTTCGACCTCGCCCGGTGCGCGACTTTCTTGCTTTAACGAAATTTCATCGTTCGTAAGGCACAGACACGAAAACGCCAGATTGCGCTCAGTTTCCATTAATGCGTCGATTCGACCAAATAATATTTTAAGGTAACTTTCCATTAATTATGTAACGAAACTCACATTGACTCCCTTCCCCTTCCTCAGCTTGCTCGCCCCCAGCACATTGCGCAGCCGATCCAGCGCGATACAGACGACGATATTTGAGGAGATGTACAGCGAGAATAACGAGGAAAAGGCATAGCCCTTACATAGGAGATCTCCCCCTAAAAACACACACATTATGACGCTTGGATCCATGTTATCTTCGATTTTTAAGAAAATCAGGCAAACACTCACATGGCCAATTGTAGATCCAGATCCAGATCAACTTGAATAGGGCGACTAGGAGGAGCAGCAAGTCCGAGATGTTCAGGTTGATTTTGAGGAGTAGGAAGCCGGCCTAAAGATTACGAAATTGCGGAGTTAATATAGATTTTGCTTATTTTAAGTTCTAGCAGAGCCTTTATTCTGTTGAAAGGACTTATTTTAAAATTTAAATTTTAGCTAAAACTCCGCTCTTTTAGATGCGCTTATCGGATCCTAGAAAAGAGTCCTGTTTTGCTCGCCTTTTTGCAATTAGTCAACTCACGCTCATGCTCTACCAAAAATAGCCTGATGTTGCAAAGTGCAGCCGGAGGCAAAGTGGCTCATAAGTTATTGCAAACCCCCTGATGCGCCACTGGACGATTAATTAATTCTGTTTTTTTTTCTGGATGCCGACCCGCCGCTCAAAAAGCGGCAAAAATGGGCTTTTGGAAGTTCATATCAGCGCAAAAAGCTCAAGAAGCCGGCTCAAAAAGCGCTTCCAAGCCGTGGAAGTAAGCATTAAAAACTGATACCTTGACACTGTCCTTTGGGGTGCGCTTTAGCTCGGCCATTAGCCTTCGGAGGATGAAGAAATTCGAAGGGGTACCAGCGATAATTAGGAATAACAGGTATGCCATTTCGATGTAGTCGGCGGGGAGGGGTTCGGGATGTTCAAGGGCTGGTTCTTCCGTCCCGTTCATTTTGGGGTATCTTAAAAGTTCATTAAAAAAGTTATGATTAGCGAATTAGCATAGAAAATGTCTAGAAAAGAAAGGAAAATACCTAGAAAGCACTATATAGAGAAAATGCGAAAATCTAGCATCAAATCAGCTCAAAAAATCAAGATTTGTTCTTAAAAATCCGAGGAAAAGCGTAATTTGTAGCGTAACATAGCATTCATCTAAGCAGACCGTCCCGCAAAAGCAAGATAGCCTAAAAATCATGATATCGACTTCAAAACCTATGGAAAAACGTAGTTTGGAGCGTAACGTAGCCCTAATAAAGAAAAAAGGATGCGCTAAATCGGAAGAATAAGCCAGGAAATATGAAACATTAATGGCTGAGCCCCCGTCTACCTCCTCATACTATATTCAGAAGAATGGGACGTCATCGCAAAAAATTCCCATAGCCTCCTTTTTTGGAGGGCGTTTGATCCCGAAATTCATTATTGGCCCCATTCAAGATGTGGCCCACAAGGCAACACACAAAATCCCACCAAAATTATTGAGCAGCTAGGGCTAAAAAAGATGTTGTGTGTTTTGTTATGTTGCGAAATGCCGATAGGAAAATACCAAAACTGTATCGGCAATTTTACTAAAGTTACTAAGGTTTAAGGAATTCAGGTAGTTTTATTAAGAAAATTTGGCTATTAAGGAAATGGGATCCTGGGTATGAAATTAGTGAAGTACAGTTGCTATACATCACAATAGCAGCTAAAATCAGTATGACTGCAGTATCGGTTAAAGTATCATTAAGTTTATGATGCGTCGATAAGAAAATTCGGAAACCGTACAATTCCGTACTTTCAAATCCATAATTTTTAGCCCACGGCAGTATCGTTTTTCATAAAAGTTGGAAGCCTAGAATCCGAGTTTTTGAAATTATTTCCGGGGAATCTGCGAACGGCAAAACTTGGTATTTTTCGGGAGGGTGTGAAGGATTAAGAGGCGGGGTGGAGTAGGGGGTGTAAACTATGAGCGAAGGCTTGCGAAAATTGACATTTTGATGCTGAATTTCATTCAGAAAAATAAAATATTTAACTTTCATTACCTTTAAAAATGTTTAGAAATGAATAAATAGGTATATTGAAACCCAGAAAATATCATAAATCCAAAGCCCAAAATGTCAAATAAACAAGCTTTTCGAGACTGTATAGCGTAGATTGTCGAAAATCCCGGACCTCCGAAGCGTCGACCACGTTTTTGATTGATTCGATTAAAAAATTTAGCAACAAAAATTATTAGGGCTCTCCCAGGAGACCCGCCGAATTCCACGAAAACGTCAGCAAAAAGACGACGTAGCAAGTGTTCAAAACTTTCATAGATTCGAATTATCATGGGGCTAGACTGACGTCTAGCCACCAAAAAACGAGATTCCGCTACAATCCACCCCCACGCAACCCGGGAATAGCGGCCAAAATGTAGTTAGCCAGGGAGGGCTAGCATTTTTTTGGGGCGGCCCAAAAACAAGGAGTTATGCCGCCGTCTATCCAGTAATTCATTAGCTTTTTAGTGGTGGATTCGGGAGAGCAGGAATGTGTTTATGGGGGGATGGCAATGAGGATGCCAGCGGAATTTGCGATAGCATCTGGCCGGGGGTTAATTGAAAATTAGGACGGAGCTTTGACGTAGTTTTCTTTAAAAACAATTGGCTTTAGGTCAAGAAATGGGAGGAGATTTTGGGTGCAGCTTAAAAATTGATAAAATCATGCTTTAACAGGAGAGTGTCAGGAAAAATCCGCCACCTGCTCGATTTTCAAGGGGACTGGCAAGGCATGCTTAAGAAAGTCTAGCTCCGAGCTAGAAAATTTTCTTCCTGTTAAAGAGTTTGCTGTTATGAAAACCGGTACTACCGTAGGCTAAAAATTACGGATATGAAGGTACGCAATTGTACGACTTCCGAGTTCTCCTTTTTGGACGCATCATAAACTTAATGGTATTTTAAGCGATACCGTACTATAGCCAGCGTTTCGGAAAAATAAATTTCCCAGGTTCAACCCGCAATTCCTTTTATTCCTAAACCCGGGTCACAACATCCAACAATTCACCGCGGCTATTATTATGGAGAAACGAGGGCGGCTCTAGATACGATTATGCGCGAGAGCTGTGTCGAAAAGGCCTTTTTCGGAGCTTTTTTCCAAAATAGATTGCAACCACGGGGGTCAGGCGCCGCTAACTCTAATGCTATTCTCACCGCCAATCCGCTGAATATATTCATAGGGGCTCAGGGCGTTGGGTGGTCGTTCAAAGCGCCAAATTAGAGTTGGAAGAGCTACTGGGGTTCTCATGGGATGTGGAAAGCGGGCACATGATTTTTGTAAGAACTACAATATAAAAATCTGAGATTTGCATGTTCAATACGGTCCAAAAAAGATGCGAAAGTCCGAAACCACAACCAGAAACATAGACCAAAAATAGACTAGCAAATTCTGAACGTGAATCATAAATAATCCAAGAATAGCTAGCCAAGCGTACCGTAGCGTAACCTACGCCTCTTTTTGGGGCTACAGAACGTAAACTAATTACCAAATCCGGGACCGGGGGAACATTGCCAAATTTTGCGACATCACCGGCCAGGAGGAAGGCGCGGCCGAAATTTGCGGAAAAACATGGCCCCTGACGTCCTGGGCTCAGGTTTTTATCGGATGTCGTAAGGCTGTGGATACTGTAGTGTAACGCGTGGCC